CGAAACCACACCAAGATAACGCCACGCAGCAATCGTCCCTCTATAAAATGGCACATTAACACTGAACCATCGATACACCGGTAATGATGAAAGTTGCAAATCACATTTGCAAATGTGATTGTATCCAGCACTGATCTTCTGCTTTAGGATATTTTTTGAAGGAATATTTACGACGATTGGGGAGGAAATAAGGTTGTTGTTCCAAAACGTTGGTGCTGCAACGGCAGAGGCGTTGCCACCCATTCTCATTCTTGTTCTAGGGATAGTTCAAAGGCAATTAGATGGACGCCAATAAGATGGACCCCGTAAGTACGACTCAAGGAGAAGGCCCACAACGAGAAGGTAACACGTACCGCACGGAACTGTGCCAATCAAGTCATACGTCGGAATAAACACGAGCGAAAGAGTGACTTTGTAACTACAAGTCGGTGGACCGTCATCGGGAGGTGATGATATCTACGTGACTTTACCGAAAGAACCAAGAATAAGTAAAATGGAGTTTTGTGCATTCGTTATTTTCGTTGTTCAATCAATACCACTTTGAAATTCAGTCTATAGCCTAGAAGGAACATTGCAGACACACGATCTGTCAGATTAAGAAAGTATGAGTCACCTTAATGCAAGAATATGGTCCCATAGACAATTGCATGGGTATTGGTGAGTGATGTACTGCATGAATATATTACAACTAGCCTTTTGCCCGTCTAAGGATGGGTGTATTGCAGTAAATCTGAAACTTGCAAGCAAAAAGCAGACCGCGATATGATATTCATTGCATTAATTCGTGTGCAATTTGTTAGGTTACAGTGAAACAGACTTATTTAATGTAAAGGTTATAATCCCTTTCTGGCGAATTGCCCGATGATGCTGGAAGTACTTACCAGCGAAACGTCGTACTCAAACTGTAAATGTGGATTCACTCTTCAACACACCGGTGGGCTAAAGTAGTGAATTATTTGTCTTTTGTCAACGTGACACTTTTTTGCTGATTGGCCGTGTCGGGTGGTGGAGGGTTACGACACATTTATAAATAAACGCGATCTAACCCAAAAACCGTTATTATGAATAATATTGGTCGCGAAAGCCTACGTGTTAAACCGTTATAATCCCTTGTTCATCATGACGTCCTTTTTACTTTGATGTCTCAACAACAGCGTCACGGAGATCACGTGACGTGAGGGTTCTGCCTTTGTAGCTTTGTAGTGAGGGTTGTCAGTTGACGCCGAGGAGGGGCGAGGAGGCGCCTCGCCCCCCCCCCATGTGGAGTGACGTCAGCCGCTAATTATTATTAATGGTGGGGGGGGGGGTGTTCATGTGGAGGACGTCACCTGTTCATGATTATTAATGAGGGGGGCTGGTCGACGTGAGTGACGTCACGAGCTTTGCACACAAATATTCTTGGCTCATTATAGTAGGTAATAATAATGGCGGGGGTGTCCATTCAGAGGACGTCAACCTGCTCATGAATATTGATGAGGGGAGCTGGTCGATGTGGACTGACGTCACAAGCGTTAAGGACATTCCTGGGTGATTATAGTAGGTATATCACGAGTAATTCTGGAATGTACACACACTCCGATGTGTTTTCCAGCTGTGGCCCTATAACATACATCTCCAAATTATTTTGTCAAATTATTGTGTTTGCAGTGACTGACTCGGAGACACTAAGAGTCGGAGGCACTCTGTTTATTAACACGGCCTAACTGTTAACACTTGGTAACTACGGTTCACAGTCAGGACAGCTGGCAGGCTGCCTGACTGGAGACTCCGAGATGGTGAACACGGAGACGACGGTGAAGACTCCACCAGCACGACGGGATCCCACTCCACACGACAGCCCCGAGCTCTCGCTCAGGGCCCCATTTTATGCTCCCAGCGTGGCCTCGCTCCGGCCCGGCCACGCCCCCTCTCTAGAACCTACCAGCGGATTCCCGGGCTTCCACCACGTGCCCCTTCTGTAACCTTTCCCCCAGATATCCCCTCTGGTGTATCACGTGGCCTACTGACGTCAGGGCTGCTGTCAGACGCAGATCCCCTTCCCCACCAGCAGCCAGCGCTATGCTGCTACAAAGCTAATTCTATGTCACTACATATGTGACTTTTATTTTCCTCATTGTATCTGAAGCCCCACCTGATCGCTTTCTTCATTACGTCCTTCAATCACTTCCTGACATTCCAACTCTTGTCGACCAGAGCACGTGTGCCTGGGGCAGTTATTTAAGGCGCCGCTGGGATGAGAATGATGTCGCAGAGAGGTAGCTGAGAGCAGGTTGCAGTGTTTTTTTTAAACCGATCTTAATGATGAAAAGCAACATATCAACGTGACTTCAGAAGAGTGATTTATTTTTTGGCTAATTGATTGTGTATATTGCCTGATGCGACGCGTGCAACAGAAACATGCACATTTACAATGAAAATTTAACAAAAGCTGAACAGTGCATAGAAGCTTGAGGAAGGACATGCACGCTTGGAACTACACAGAAAGAGGAACACATAGATCATAAAACAAGTACAAGTTATAATTATATCGACTGAAAAAAGTTACAGAAGCTTGGGGCAGAACTTGCCACGAGGATAGTGAAATGGTGGCCGAGCTTCATTACAGAATGCCATCCAAGGGAGGGAACTCATTGGAGGGGATTTCACTGCGGAGATGGAGTACGTTACATTGGGCCATGTGAAGGAGCGAGAGATATTTTATTTTAAATGTGAGATTTCGGAGTGGCCTTCATCCAGCAGTTCGATAGAACATGCCAAATATTCTTTGGGTCTTTCGGTAAAGCCACATAGAAAAAAAAACATTATTATCGAAAGACCCAACGAATATGAAATCCTGCAGTCACAAAAGCTTAAAGTCAAGATGTAACATGACTAATGACAATGCTGGAAGATCTATGCATCATACTACGAATGCCTCAGTACTGCCTGGATATTGTTGTCCTTCCGCGCACCTCCAATTAGCATGGTTGGCTACGTACGGTGCGAAAGAAGTTCAATATACATTCAAGTAACAAGATACGTTTTGATTGAATTCACTGTAATATGGTATTGCCCAGTACAGTACAGTACTACGATCTGGCAATTTATTGCTTACGCAGACAGAAGGGGCCTCGACTGGAGGCAACTGAAGAGCCATACTAGAGGGTGCTTTGGTCTACTCTTCCACGCTGGTCTTACACTTTACCCCACCACACTCGGCTTGCCGATTGACTGATAACTATGGCTTTTTCAACATCAATGGCCATGCTAGAAACACTATTTGCATTTCAACAAATAACATTTTTGAATAGTTATATGCCTCATATTCGTTGGTTCATATAAAACGATCTTATCGTTTTAATCTAGCGTAGACCACGGAGAATTATTTTATCCTGATAATTCTTGGCAACCAGAGGGATTCGCATGAGTGATTGAGGTACACGGTGTTGAGTGCATTCATGAGCAGTTGTCGACCATGGGTACGTTTCCCTCGTAGGAAAAGCTGTGTAATGTAATGCAGGCCCCTCCTACATTGTAAAGCACAATAATAATAATGGTCACAAGCAAGCTTTGGCAAACACAGCTAAAGGTTGGACTATCCAAGAAGGCAGGTGAAACGGATTGCAAAATCTTAAGCTTGGTACATCTGCCAATGTTCTAGTTAAACATCAGTCGAGGTGATTTGGTATCCATCACAATTAAATGAAGAGAACTGCTTTGCTGGCATTTACAATGTGTTTTTTTCAAAAGCCAACATTTTCCGAAATTATAACATATATTCGCAACTTTTACACGGACTATAAGACGGGATATATTAATTTAATCGTGGAATATCATACCGATTTAAATAAGACAACAGTTGCATTTTACAATCGTAAATTCTACCAACCCTTCAAACTAAAAGCATCAACTAGTTCTGCAGCTTAATGGATTACAACGCAAAATAATCCCACAGCCCCAAAGAGTTACATTTAAGCTTCAGTGACCAATTGGCTTCACGCTGCAACACCCATTTAGTTGTAAAACATGCCATGAGCACAAAATGTAAATACAAATGTATTTGGGGTCAATTAAATTAAATATCATTTCCGGATTACGCTCGCGCACAAAAACGTTTAAGCCTGAGTGTGTCACATTTATGCAGATAAACGAAGTGTCTCGTTTACAAAAAAAAAATCTCTGTATCCCTTCAAAACGCACTCGGGAGCATGCCCAGTCAGCAGCCAACTAAAAGACTGCGATGCTTGTCTGCGATCTAAATAATTTTGCGTACGTATTCCTGTATTTCTTATTTTTAAAAAAATTGTCAGTCTCATTTGTACAATTTTTTTTTAGTGAGAGATGTATTAGCCTCGATGTAACTCGAGGCCATCATGTCTGCAGTGTAGCCTGGATGCTCTCCCAGGCCCTGCCTGTGGCTCCGTCAGCGTCCACGAAGGACGCGTTCGTCTCTCTTGACAATGGAGTGTGCTTTTGACCGTCTCCATTTCAGCGTTTCGATAGAGATGTGGTCCCGTTTCAGCGCTGCGCAAATCCAGTGGCGAGATGTTAACTACCTCGCCCGGTATACAGCCCATGGGTTCGATCCCGACTCCGACCCATGTATGTTTTGGAGTTTGCGTGTCTCTATCCCTGTGGTCACGTGGATTTTTCTCCGGGTCCTCCGGTTTTTCCCACCACATTTAGAAACATGCGTTTAGAGTATTTGGCTGTTAAACATTTTCATCATTTGTGGGCAGGTCACTTGTGAAAAAGATATATAGCTCAGCGGGCCTTACCTGGTAAAATATAAAGTTTGATGGTAGTTTTAGTTTACAATATTATTCATCTCACCGCAGTCCCCTTTCATATGTTATTCATGTGTAAAGCGCTTTGATATTAAGTTTTATGCAAACATCGGGAATTTTTTTTTATACATGTCCGTTTCGATGCACATACCGTATGAGCCTTGAGAATCTATATTAATCGATTGATCATTATATATCCATGCAATAGTATAAATAAGGTAACCAACAAAGGTATATGAAGTGTTTTTTTTATTGGGTCGAGCATTCATTTGCATTGTTACAAGCATACAGCGGTTGATGAAGCTTTTCACTCAAGTGCTCAAAGGTGATGTGCGCGGTCTTTTGAAAGCATTAAATAAAAAAAGTACCCCGACCATGTATTATAAATACAGTACACATGTGCAAACATATTACCAAGGGTCTTGCGTAAAGTTCCAATGTATTCATTTATTGAAATTACCCGTTTTAATCATGGATGTTTTATGTCACCACGGTGAGGGCTGCTTCCCACAATTCCCCCAGGTAATGCATCAATCATACATGGGATGCAACCATCTACACTTCCAAGGAATTATCCAGCTCATCACGTTTGCATTTCCTTGCCTTGATTAGTGCTTTACACATGTTTCTACCCGCCTTTGTTTATTAACCCCGAGGCAACAAATTCCAACGAGCAACCTTTTTTTTTCCTTTCAACAATAATTGACCCGCTTCATGAAAGTTTCACACCGAAGTGTTATTAATATTGATGTTAAAATTTAGTAACCTGCATGGAAATGACATTTGGCAGGAAATTAGAAACAGGGGGCGGAGCTGTGTTGTAGTGATTCGCGTGCAATACTGTGTTTTGAGCCTGGCGATCAATGTTTGATTCCAGGAGTGATATTGGAATTGGTCTTGGCCCCCTCCTTCACGAACATGCACTCACCAGCATGGTGAGGTGTGGTAAACCACCATTGCCAAAACTTTGCTGGGAAGCCTTCATCCAGTAGTGGGTTGATAAAAGGGCTGTACATTATTATGGAATGTTACATATTTCAGTAATTATTACACATACCTTCCGTTTAAACCGTGGCAAGTCATCATAATGCATGGCAAGTCAACAATGCATTATAAAATTTACATCCTTGGCAATTCAATGATTATTGGTCGTAATTCGTTTGCTAAATAGTTAGTATCATTTTAACATTTTGGTTTTAATCATACGATGCATCAATAAATGCCCAAATGAAAACGATTCATGTAGAAAAGCCTCACTGGGTCTCAAGGCCATTTCACGAGGGTTCTCATGACGTTTGAACAATTTTATTGGAGGAAAGTTTTGCACGTGGAAGGAAACCAGGGCAAGCGTAGAAAACCCAAACGTACGAGGGGATAATGATTGTCTTTTGACACAGCGCCCTTCATGCCGGGGCGTCAGAGCGCTTGACATAATTTCGCACACGTTTGAAAGGGCACCCTCATGTGGCAGCTGCTCCCTCTGGGCACAAGGTGACTCAACACCTGGCCGAGAAATGGGCATTCATCTTCCAATAGGGGGCGATGATTGCTATGTGTAAGTCCAATTGAGTAATTTTGAGGGTAGTTTTCTAATTTGCCAATTTGGATAACACTTGGAAGACCTGAGACACAAATTCACAAACCGATGTACTGGAGTGTCATCTTCTAGCCAATTCAGCCCATTGGGTTTGGGACATCGGTAATCTACCAACCGTCGTCTCCAAAGCATTGGATTCACTGGTGTATTATATACAATGATGCCTGCTTAATAATACATTAAGAAAGCCTGAGTGTTTCACTATACACGTCGTGTATTAATTAGGCAACAACTTTCATGAGCTGCTCGTGAAGCATTTTTGTAGGCTTCTTTTATTTAAGTAGCGAATGTCCAATATGACTGACAGAGCTGCATCACTTCCATTTGGCTCCTCCAAGTAAGTCTTGAACCCGGTACCTCAGAAGTAAACATTAGAATCCTGAGCCTCTCCTACATTCAATGTCAATACGAGGGTTGGGAAAGTCTATACCAGAAATGTTTATTCCCCTCCATACTTCCACGATCAATATTCCCCATTCAAATATAACAATGTCAAGGGTAAAAAAAAAATCACATTGGTTGCATAGTAAATGTGAACATTTCAACTCTGGGGAAGCATGGCCTCAAACACCGAGCCACTTGGTCATTAGAAGCACACACTCGTAAACATTAAACATCTATTACATAACATTATGTGCCGAGTAGAAGTGCCAATCTGCCTTCTTTAAAGGTAATGGCAGGATACATCTGGCTAGTTAAATTACAATGTTACATATTGAAAATGTAAACAATGTTTAATGTTGGCTTCTTCCAAATGATTTTAAAGGTGAATTTGAAAAAAAAATATTTTGATCGTAGAGAATGTTCCAGGTTTTATAGTTTTAAGATGTAGTCAACTATCAAAACAAATTTGTTACAATTACATTTCTATAAACATTTCCAATGTTTGCTTCATCAGTAATTTAAGATGAATATAGTCTGCATCATAAAAATGTTGTCATATCTCAGACGGCTAATTTGAATGATTCCAATCACAAAAATCAGCACTGGCTCGGAAATAAAGCAGCAAAAATATAGCAACAACAGCAGCACAGAGTACAGTGGTTCATTCCTGTAATGGGGAAGAATTGTTCGTCTTACACTGTAACCATTTAACTGGCAAAACCATTATCAATCCAGGCTGTGCTACTGAATAACAAAATACCGAGATCACAACCTACAAAGTATATCCAGTGTCTTTCTTATTTGCATAACCCTTGTTCTTTTGATGCATGCGCAACATCACCAACAGTCAGAAATGCGGGTATTGCAATTTCAGCAGGACACGGCTGTACAGGATAGCATCGCGATTCCACATCATCCCCTATGCATCACAGGGAATTTTTAGCAAAGGAGCGCAAGACAATCATGAGCAGCCGGCATCAGGAAAACAAGGTCTGTAATTGGTTGGAAGCTTCATATTCTTCCAGATCCCAGACTCTTAAGAAGTGGCTGATGTTCTTTCTGCAAAGACATATTACCTTTTAGATCATCAATAAAAATCCATTCATATGCACACAAAGGCTGACTTGCATTTTCTAACGTTATGATCAAATGCACTGTATATAAATTCTCAAAGTTGTAATTAATGACCCCGACTCCAGATCTTGGGACAGTGTGTATTCGGTATTCACTTATAATGAACTTGTATATGCAGTCAAACTGTCATATGTTAAAAGCATATCTTTCGTTTCCCCTAATAGTATTTATATTCATGTTTCTGAATGACGAGATGACCACGGCAACAAGCCCCCAACATCAAAGATGTACTCTCTGTTCAGCCTGCTTTTCATCTATACAATTCAATCAACAGCTTTATTCCAACGTGCCGATTTAAATATGTGTGCCCCTCTGCAGGTTTCCATCTCAGCTGCACGCAGCTGACAACCTGATTTTAACAGAACAAAGTCAGTGCTATGGAATTTAAGAAAGTATTTTTTTCGCCAAGATCCAAAATCAATGTCACGTTACAGGAGTAGATGTATAAAGATGCGAAGAGCATATTGGACATTTTGCACACATTTAATAGACACTGGACCAGAAACGAATTTAATTTAAAGTAGTTTTTATACACTCTAATGAAGCTGCATGTGGTAGAAGATGGTGTGCATATGTGCACTATCAATTTTACTTTACATGCATACTGTTCTTACCCGTTGTATGGAATATAAGAATCCATTCCTTTGGATGCCACACACACTCTGTCGTGTGCTATATTTTTTCACATTTATTTTAAAAATAAATTAAGTACTTCAAATCTAAAGTAGATCTCTCTACTTTAGAATGACACGATGGTATTTGGTAGCAAAATGTGAAAAAGGAATCACAACAGCGTAATAATTCATTATCTTCATTAGTAACATTCACTGTTTATTCATGTTAGGTAATGCCAAATGGCTATTTTTTTAAACATATTTTCACTGCTGGATGAGAACCTCTCGATGCCGTGTTGTTTGCCCATACTTCGCCAAACTGGTCGATGAAGGTTGGTGAAGAGGAGACCTACGAAAATGGTGGTACAGTGTTATAGGCACTGCGCTATGAACTTTGTGACCTGAGTTTGATTTGCGGCCTAGGCTAACGTTATTGCCTATTGATATTCATATCACTACGCTATGAACTTTGTGACCTGAGTTTGATTTGCGGCCTAGGCTAACGTTATTGCTTATTGATATGAATATCACCAAGTTCATAGCGCAGTGCTGAAACACTGTACCACCATTTTCCCGAGTTACTGGACGATGCGTTTGAAAATCCCACCGTTTCATGTTGATGTGAGCCTCCAGCTCCCTGGATTTCTGAGCGGCAGTGTGCAACACCTGCTCAGGAATGGCAGCCAACCGCGCGACGTTGAGGCCGTAGCTCCGAGCGGCTGGCCCTTCTGTAAGCTGATACAAGAAGGTCACCGACTCCAGCCTCTCTCCGTCTTCCCCTTGCACTAGCACATCACACAATGCACAATTTTGCCTCGAGCAGAAACGGAAGGTCGAGCCTAAAAATAATAAAATACATTCATGCAACGCACTAGTCAACACCCTCTGGTCTCTAAAATGCCAGCGCTCGGTTTTCCAGCGAGATGAATCTGTAATTTAGCCAATTAGCGCCAATGAAGTGCCTGGCTGACCTCCGTTTCACTTTGACCAATATGTCACGACGCTTGAGGCAACCGTCAAGAAGGTGTGCGCGCGGGCACCATGTCGAGAATGCACAACGCATCAGAGATGTTTGCACAATACGCTTTTTTTTAACTGTGGCAGCTTTATAATCCGGCTCCTGCTGCCTCAGGTCCATCTGATAAATCGCAAGCTGTTATGACGCTGTCATTGATGAGCAACATGGTTACTTTGTGGTAACACCATGTGGGGGGTTTGTTTTTCTTCTATTTGTTTACATCTCGCCCATTACAAGCGCACACCAACCTTTTCAGAGTAATAGTTTAGAGAGCATTCACGCCAGCGCCAAATCGGTCGGATCATGACGAATAGTGCACCGGACACACAGGTAATTTCTCTGCTTCATGATTTAATTAACGAATGTGAGATGTCATTTTATAATTACCTAAAACAGGGTTTCAATCTATTAAAATTAGGCTCTTAATTGTATCCATACATAAGCTCAAGCTATTTCTTTTAAAACCAGGTGAGAAGTCAAGAGACCAGGATAGAGTCTCATTTGCAAGAGTGACCTGTGGCGTTGGTCAGCTAGTAGGAAGCGCTGATTGCTATGTAATTTGCCAATTGAGTAATTTACAGGTAATGCTGGCACAAATTATTTTGAATGACTACAGGGCATCGATGGCATGCACTGTGAAGCAGACTGTGCGTATTGTGGTTATTACACCCACAGTATTAATCAGGGCGGCCGCTGGATTAGAACCGTGAACATCTGCAACAAGCGACAAACACACTTCTGCTAGGCGATATCACCGCCAAATAAAATACATACGAGATTGTGTACTCACGGACATTCATGCACTACACAATCCTGTGCACATACTGCAACGTCAACCAAGAAGATAATGGTAGTCTCCTTTCTCAAAGAATGAATGAAACACATGTTTGTGTAACCATTATGCCAAAACTTCCTTTCTAAAAGACTTGAACAATGATCACAAGGAGTAGTACATGAGAGCTCAGTGGATGCATTGCTCGATTTTCTTACCCGTCTCCTCAGGCTCACTGAGAAGAAAAGACATGTGGTAATTGCTGACAACTTCCGCGTTTAGTCTCTCCATTTCACACACAGGAGGGTAGTGTGTAACAAAGAGGGTCAAGCATTGCACCTGCCGGATAGAAGAGAACAAGCCAGACACGCCACAAAGCAGGTTTTTAAAGATGCGTCAATTAATCAATGAAAATTAACTCTGATGCTCACTATACTTGGATTGGATACAGAAATATGCTCATGTTGTTGCATAGGGCATAACGTATAAATAACATGGGCATAACATTTTAAACAGACAATAGAAATGAGACGGAACAATGTGGAACATGAGCCAAACATTACAAAGACAGGACAGAAATGAGACAGATAATTAATCCAAAGAGACACAAAGCACCTTAGACACACAACACATACATGTAAACAGACGAAACATTTTTGATTCTTAGGTTGAATCGGGACCCAGAATTGTGACACGGGAAATGGGGTGTATCAATGAATGCTTTTACCGTTGAGTCGATACTTAAAGAACATTCTGAGCATTGACACCTGCAAACATGTGATGGTAATAAAGGCTGTGCTCCCTAATGAAAATTAGTTGATGATGTGTCAACTATAAACTTAGCATTGGGGATAAGATTAAGTTCTTACTCATGTTTGCTTATACTGTGTAACAAAAACATGTTTTTGTTCCTGGGTAGTAAGTGTTATTTCCTAATTGATTATGCCTCAAAAGTACAGAAAATTTCTATTATTCCCCACAAACTTTGCTTTTGTGACCAGGACACAAAAGCAAAGTTAATATTCCACTCCATTAATAATTATGAATACATTTGTTCCTCTATTTCCATAGCTCTTGACATTAACTCATTAAATTATGACAAAACATATTTATTAAATAACAGTATAAGAGCGCAATCAAGATATTATTTTCAATGTTACTAATTTATCATACAGTTTAATCAAATATGCATTTAGGTATGTGTATAAACATTGTCATGGAATACTATTGAACACCAACTTAGGCTGTATATTCATAACTCTAGGCAATGCAAATGCTGAATAGTTATCATAATTGATAAGCACAAGGACTGTCACTTGCAGTGTTAAGTTATTACAATTAAATGCAACTGCATGGAGTTAATGATTTACACAAAATATTATTTTAGCATAACTTTTATCCTTTCACTTAGAATTCACAACTGAGATGCACCCTACATGAACAGAGCAACTATCCAGTTGCCACTGTAATCATTAAATGTGCCTTATTAACATTGCATACTGAGCTAAAACAACTCTTCTTAATGCTATCTTATGCCAGTAACAATATATACACATTACTCGAGATACTACTTTATATGAAAATAAAAGTTTCATCCAATGAACTACACAAGACGTTTTTTTTTGTAAGAGTGAACCGTCCAGATGGCACGACAGGGATGGAAACATAAAAAAAATGCAATTCAGCAATAAAGCCACAATGATGACCTGCGCGTGTAACCAGAGGGCATTAACTTCACTGCTCGTCAATTTATGGGGGGGGGGGGGGGGAGCTCGGGAGGTGTGCAGGAAATGCCGACCTCCTTGACAAAGTACTCCAGAGTGGCGTAAGCGATGGCAATTCCGTCGTGCGTGCTTGTGCCGCGGCCCAGCTCATCCAGGATCACGAGCGAGTGGCGCGTCGCTTTGCGGATGATCTCCGAAGCTTCGCTCAGCTCCTCCATGAAGGTGCTGTGGCCCTTGTAGATGTTGTCTGATGCGCCCATCCTGAATGCGTGCGGGTTAGTGGCGGGGGCACAGTGCAAGCCAATTAGAATCCACTGGCTGCACGAGTGAGATGTCCTGAAAAAAGTGTTAATTGCATTCATCAACGTACACTTTTTTATGACAATCACATTAAATGCACTCATTTTCCATTAAAACAAAAACTGTCCTTGCTCCTTCAACACTGCTAACGCCCCCAAATGATTACATTATATTTTTTATATATATAAATGCAGGTGAGATTCCATAAGCACTTAATTGAATGCCCATATGCAATTTTCACTCTGAAATTGAGCTGTCTTTGATGTTTACAGCAGCTTCATAAAATGCTCATAAAATAATTGTAACTATACATCATACAATCCATTTGTTTCCCGAATACAAATGAATGCAAAAATGTATTAAAATAACTGCCTCTAGACAGCATATATGTATATTTCTCTTTGCAAATATATCTGATGTAAGAAAATCATATCTAGCCAAATACAAAATCTGACCATAACTTGCATGAAGAGCCATTGAATGAATGTCTGATATGTGGAATACACGATACTGTTTGTCTTAAATGTAGTAGTTGAAAACATATCTATAGACGTTGCAGGAAAATCGCCCCAGAAAGCTAAAAAGGCATCACGAGGACACGATTCTAGCTATGATGGGGGGGGGGGGGTCCCTCTTTCTTGATACAATTCTGTCAAATGAAACCCGAGTTCTGTTTTGATAGCTGTGAGGCCTCCTGTGAATATTTTTATTCAGTCAATGTATAGGGCACAATCCTGTTACAGCAATACAGATAACATGTCCTTCATACTCATAGATCAGTGGGAATCGGTGAATGGAAACTTTTAAAAGACAATGCCATTACACAGTCTTTGGGGTTAATTACGAAGGTAATGGATTCTAAGATTTACATATTTTTATTTATAAAATAAAGTGAATGATTTTTTTTTACATAATCAAATGCTATTTTACAGAAGTATATTGAAACTACAATGTCTTTCTTAACTGGTAGAAACGGTCAATGGACCAAATATTCTAATCAGCAAAGCATTTGATTTTCCTTGTTAATCAAATTAAATACAAAAGTTGCTAGTTTTTGTTTAATTCTGACGTGAAAATGTTTCTTCTGGTATTGCAGTCGTTATTTTGTTTCAAGTTCATAATGAAATTGAATAACTTATACCTCAAAATGTAGCCAGAGACAAAGGCAGATCTGTGCGAGAAAGTCAAACAAAAACACCAATATACCAGAGTCCAGTAGGTCATGGGAACTGCAAGAAGTTGTGCCCAGAACAAATAAACATTATTGACAAAGTTAAAAATACATCTGTGCAAGGACTGCATCTGGCAGGCCGGATATCTCTCTATGGGTGCGCCCTGTCAGTCTATAGAGGCATTTAATAACTGCCAAATTGTCATGTGTACAAAGCAAGTCAAGACCCAGTCTCCGTTCCAGTATTATACTGCATTGATAAGGGCGCTGCGGTGTCGAGATGTTAACTACCTCGCCTGGTATGGAGGTCGGGTGCTCAATCCTGATCCGAATGCCCTGTATAATTGGAGTTCGCATATTCTCTCTGTGGTTGTGTTTTTTTTTCTCCTGGTCCTCCAGCTTTTACCTTCCATATATTTAGAAACATGCATTTAGAGTATTTGGCTGCTATACATTTCGACATAAGTCACTTCGTTGAGCTATCATTTGTGGCCAGGTCACTTATGAAAAAAAGCTAATAACAAATTTGGCCTAACCTGGTAAAATAAAAAAAAACATTTCTAGTTTTTCTAAGTATGACAGGTTCACTGTATTTTCCCAGTGTTTGCATTGTCAAGGAAGGTAAAGTATACATGTAATTATAATATAATTTCCTACAAATAGTATATATTATCTAGTTTTTTTCCCCTTAAATCAACGTGTTGATTCGTGTCAAAGTAAAATATTTGTATCACAGTTGGAAATAGAGTTAGCGTATATCTACCATGTAAATAACCGTGGTATGTATATAGAAAATTCAAAAGTTCTTGTGCCGTGTGAATCAGAAGTGGGTTTTATGGCGAAAAAATTATAGATGTGGTCTGTTATCCCAGTTTGCTGTAAGGGCAAGTATTTCTGCTGTCGAAGACATGAATCACAGAACAAATGAGATCGTTAAAAGTCCGTTTGATTAGGCTTCCGAAATGGGTTGACATTAGTGTGTATCGCAAAATGTGGCTGGAATAATTGACGACTGCACGGTTGAGCAAAATAACTACTAAGATCTTCTGTATGTAGCAATGTGAAAAAAAACATACCTTCCTTCTAAAAAAGAATTTGAATGGATAAAGCATCATCACGTGATGAACATAGTGTAATATGTACAATGCTTTTAACAAACTCTTGATGTCACGAAACATTCAAGACAAATATTTACAAGGCACCTTGTCAGGTTTGGACAATAGGTTTCATTCAATCATTGTTTTCCAGAGAAGGTCAGCTGGCTCAGCAGTCAGAGCACTTAGTTGCCACTGTTGGGATCCTGGGCTTGAATCCAGGTTTCGGCTGCTAATGATGAACGAGCGTCTCTCGAAGCTAGCATGTTGAGATGGTAGTGTCTGGAAAATGTGTGTGATGAGGATCAGCTTGCTGTCTTCCAAATATCCTGCAAAGTGATACCCACCTCACGAACCCAGAGGACCACCATGGACCTCACAGAGTCCAGAGGCATCTTCCCTGCCTTTTACGAAGATAGCCCAATACAAATATGCATGTATGCACCAGTCACATTCTTGGACGCAGCCTCCCCCCTTCATATGGGCTCCAGGCAAAACACATAACTATCAGAAGAAAAATGATGAAGCTTTCACCACATCCAAGACATGCAGCCTTCTCGATTTGATAGAAAGGGCTTTGGACAGAAAGAGGGGAGTGCAATCTCCCAATTTACATGAATAGAGGCCACCTTTGACAGAAACTCAGGGAAGGTCCACAATACCATTTAATCTTTTCCTAAACACACAGGGCACCAAAGCTTGAAATTCCCCCACCCATCAGGCAGATGTTACAGTGACCAGGAAAACCGTTTTAAGGCTATGAACATCACCGAATAATGTCTCAAAAGGCAGTGGCTAAAAAGGTACAGCCATGAGAAAACTAAAATTCCCATAGAGCCACACAAACAGAGAAGAGTTGGGCCCAGAAATCTATTGTACTGATATCAGCTGGCGCAGGGACCACATGTGCAGATATGCCCCTAGGGCCCTAATATTGTACGAAGAGGAAAAAACATCGCAAACGTTTAATTTATAGATTTCTGATTGCGTGCTGGCCACTGAATTGTGTTCAAGATGGTAATGAATGTGCCTATGGCTGCATATAACAACCAAAATGTAATAAAGACAACTAAACAGAGCATATATTTCCAATTACACTCTCGTATACAAACTCCTGTGGTTCGAATTAAACTCAGTCTCAAATGTTTAGCAGAAATAATAGAAGAAAAATATATGAAGACAACAGATTGGGCCAAACATTTTTTAAGCCATCTGCAATAACAAATCCAGGGCTCGATTTGAAAGCCAGATTTCAGAAATTTTCAAGCAGCTTCAAGTGTTACATATCCCTTCAGGGAACTCCCAGACAATTATCAAATCAGACTATTTACATTTACATTGATAGTCCACTGCAAGGGAAGAAACATAAGCCTCATGACAGTTGCAATGATTTCAATACATTACATGCACTTCACGATGAGAGATTAACCCCAAAAGCTACCTCTTACAAGCCAGATAATTGATATCCCTGATTTAGTGGGGCATGAATGTAGTGTGAATGTAAGCATAACACAAATGTCAATCATTCCACTGGATGTGGTGGCCATTCTCTGCATGCATGCCGTTAAAAGTAAGTTCGTTATTTTGGTAATCATGTGGAGACATTGTGAATCTCCGAGGTGTCGTGTATAATAGAAAAACATGTCTTTTTCACATTCAAAATTTTGAGATACTTTAATACACAATTTGCAGTGATGCCCCTGCATTTATAAAAAATAATGCCCTCCTCCATATCAATACTCTGACCTCATGGATCAAACGGCAAAAATTAAATGTATTATAAAATTACAGCGAACTATTATAACATTACTGCAGTATAATTGCAGTCCTCCCCTAATAATGTAAAAATAATGATAATACAAGGAAAATATAGCCCTGCCTGTTGTGTTACAAATACAATTATGCACACTATTATTAAGCGTGACTTAGGCATCTTCATTGAACAAAAATATTGGACAATGCATGACCCACCTTTGAACCGAGTACTTCTATTTGCAGTATCAACGTCTCGTGAGCAAACACGGCTTAAAATCGGCATGTTTGTACGCTGTGTATGTATGAATTAGCGGATACAACATACATGTGGGTTCACAGCGATCACAATGTTTCTCTTATGAAATGCAAGTGTTAAAATAACATCACCCTTGAATACCCATATAAAAAAAAGCAAGGAGGGCTCGCTTCCAAACCCCAAGCAAGCTGTGCACACATTTTTTTCTTCTTTTCTCCTTTTCTGGCAGGGCTCGGGGCTTTCAAAGCCAGGGGATGCAGCGTTTGATAAATTATTCTGAAAATATTTCTGCGCGTGGCACTTACCATACTAAACAGGCATAACAAAACGGGAAGACGTTGATTGTGAGCAACCAATTTTGCCATGCTTAACTACTTCATTTGAATGTCTGCATTAATGTACTATTACTAATCGAATGGTATGGCTTTTTTTTTACTTATTTACGTAACAATTACGACAGCACCGATGAAATCCCTAGAGAAGCACGTTGCATGTACGACGATCCTGCAAGGCAAATTTAAATGCTGCACAGCAAGTTTGTATCCTGTGTGGACAACTTGGACACTTTTCTGGATTCTAAAATGCAAAATAAGCTCAATCATTCTAAGTCCCAAATGCATCTGAATGAAAATTACTTTGTGACAATAAATTTATCAAACAAATTAATCCGTGCAAATTAAATATCTGAACAACCCAAAGCATGAATACAAATTAACAGGTAAGAATACATGGCTTATGGATGCTCATGAAAATAGTTTTAATCTACACTGGCTTTATTTTTCAGAATTAATAAAATAAACACTTATTTTGCTAACATTACATTTTATTGATGAATGTGTTTTTTATGTTGTTGCATAATTTTAACAGCCCACATGGTTAAGGTTTTAACATTAACTACACATTCAATTGGTGTGTATTATTTTCACTGAACGTGGAAAGATGAGAACAGGCTTTATTTTCAATCTCACCACATGGAACATTGCTGCCCAGAGGGGCTGGCACACATACAGCATTGATGATCTGCAAAAGTGGCAGTTTTCAAACTTTGATTAACACAGAGATGACAACCAACACTGTGTTTTTATACACTGCAGACAGCTATTACTTCCTCAACAATTACATACCGGTGGTATTGAATTCAATCTGATCTCAAATATATGCTGTTCTTGCATCCCTTTAAGCCACATTACACACAAGTGGATTTGCCACGAGTCTACCGCACGTCTAAGGTTTGCATGAATGTACCTGTAATGTGTACATTAGCTATATAATACATTGATTCGTTGATATAAAAAGATTATTATGTTCATGATTATACTGCTACAGGTGCTGCATTCACCACGTTTAAAAGGATTAGATTATTTAATGTAATTGTAACCCCAATTGAAACCCCAAATCGTGACAATTCATGAAATCACAGTCATCCCTCGTTATACTCGAATCAATATATGGAATGTCGATATAAATTTACCTAAGAAATTAGGGAACGAGTTTGATATACGTTACGTTAAATTTGCATTCTAAGAATTCTGATTGTCTAAAAAGTTACGGTTTTTGTGGGGAAACATTCAAACAATGGTCTGTCACTGGTTCTCGCATGCATGTGCTGCTGCTCCAGATGGTTTGCGTCGTGCACTTTTCACACTTTACTACTGACTTCACACTTTACTACTGATTTTACACTTCACTGATTTCACACTTTACTACTGATTTTACACTTCACTGATTTCACACTTCACTACTGATTTTACACTTCACTGATTTCACACTTTACTACTGATTTCACACTTTACTACTGACTTCACACTTCACTGATTTCAGACTTTACTACTGATTTCACACTTTACTACTGATTTCACACTTTACTACTGACTTCACACTTCACTGATTTCACACTTTACTACTGATTTCACACTTTACTACTGACTTCACACTTCACTGATTTCACACTTTACTACTGATTTCACACTTTACTACTGACTTTACACTTCACTGATTTCACACTTTACTACTGATTTCACACTTTACTACTGACTTCACACTTTACTGATTTCACACTTTACTGATTTCACACTTTACTACTGATTTCACACTTTACTGATTTCACACTTCACCGATTTCCCGCGTTCTTTGTGGTGGCCAAGCTTGGGTCGTTTTGGTTCAGTTCTTTGTGTTGATAACGCCTCGGTACTGCACCGTGCAGGATTTTTCACTCTTTATAAATGTTGCAATTTCACTAAAAGTAAGTCAAGATGCATGGAAAGAGGCCATTCAGTCCAAGTGATATCATAAGTGCAAAACGAGACTGTAAGTACTGTACAGTATTTTTTACTTGATTTATGTTTTCCTATAAAAGGTATCTCCAATTATATGATGGAAGTCAAAGGGAAAATCGGACGCGATAAACGGAATTTCGCTTTAGGAAGTTTTCAAGAACGTATATCTCTTCCGTACATCGAGAGATACCTGTATTCCTTTTATGTATGCACGCTTATATGCGATGCTAAAATGTGCATATGATGGTCATCACAAACAACCGTGTACAGTAGGCAGGGTTCTAAATTAACAACAAGTCACATCGCACAGGAGACTTTAAATTCGTTTTAAATTCCAAGATATCTAAAATTAGTAATGTGAATCCCCAGGAATTTTTAGGACACTGACACACGTGTGCACACCATTTCATCACACGCTCAAGAGGTATCCATTCGAAATATCGGCACAGCTCCAGGTTGAATTATGTCATTACCTAAATGTGGTAAGACTCGCTTTGTACATTATTAATAAGGCTGGCTGTAAATTATTGAGTTTAATCGGTGAGGAATTTAAATAGGAAGATAAGGTGATTAATGAAATGCACAGACTTAGAGATTTGTGGTTGAACCCTTAGGACAAAACAGATGGGGTTCACTTAAAACTCACACGGCCCTTACTCTTAACTTGCATAAGAATGCAAAGAGGCAATCTATTTTGGTAGGCAGGTGCCATTGTTAAAAACAAGTTTTCACTTTATAAAAACAGTAAAATAAAAAAATTGGACAAATGTATAAAACACCTAGTATTACCACAGCCACGACTCTACCAAGGCATTAAAAGCAGCTTAAAAGAAGACTTAGTACAAGAGTAGACTGCACAAAGGTTTGTGTAGGCCAACAATGAAAACTGAAAAAATATAACAAAGTTTTAAAGCATGTTCTTTATACGAACATATTTTGCATTTTTTGGTAATCCTTTCTTATATACTTGCAGAACAAGATGATACTAATGAGGGAAATACGCTGCTATTTTCCTATGGGCTATATAATTTGACCATCAAAGCTTTTCATGTGAAATAGAGCATGCATTATCAGGGTTCCAATCCTTGATGGTAAACCTTCTTGGGGAAAGTATAACCTTGGAAATGTGTGTGTTCTATGTACTTTATACATTAGCCACACGAGTTTAATGGCTTAGTTAATAGTAACGAGCCAACACATCAGCATTACAAGACAAGCATCTTGAAATATGCTATTAGCAACCTTCACTTGGTACACACCCAAAGCAAGCACTCGCAGCTACATAAGTGTTCACATGCACGAGTGCACATGAGTATCCTTAGATTCTCGTGCAACACCGCTTATTATTCTACAAATAAATGTGCAGAGCATTTAATGCTTTTTGTTTTCATGCAAAGATACATGGCAGCATTCGCTGTCACCACTCTATGCAAGCTTGAGCAGAGATTTAAACATGCAAGCATGCATGTCTGTGTGTGCATCATGACAGTTGACCTTAGCCTCTTGTAAGAATCCTTTCCCTCTGATAACTCAAAGGTTTCACTTCATGTCTGGCATTCAGGCCTGTGGTTTCCCCCTCTAATGCTGAGAGAGGCTTTGGGTGCTGCCATTATTTGCGGCGCCATGTACACCTATCTTGAAATTCAGATTATTCTGATGAATTTAAATACAATGGGTCGATTCTTTTCATTACATATTTAGGCCACGAAGCATTCCTTCACTGATTTTTAGGTTGTAAAGTGATGAATCTGAGATAAGCCAGGGACAAACACGACATTAATAATGTCAATGCACGTCACTCAACACCAGCACTGTTCCCTTAGATTAAAATATGAACTCAAAGGTAGCAAACACACTGTCTCTGAATTTTAACTGGTTGCTGCTTCTGGGCTCACTCACCTGGTGTGAATTGCATGGAGGCTGCTCAGCTTGGCATGGCTCGCTGGAACAAAGGAACCCATCTGGGCCATGACAGCGATGAGGGCGACCTGCCGGATGTACGAGCTTTTGCCACCCATGTTTGGGCCTGTGATTATCATGGCTCGCTTCCCGTCAGCCTGCCAACGGACCAAAGGAAGTGGCACTCAGCAAGCAGGGCACGCAATCGATCGCTGCCACAGGGCACTCAATGATATCCTCACAAAATCCACACGCCTCGGAAAAATGCACTCTTTCCGCACATGTGGCTGCCGATGACAATCAATCTTTTCCTTCCTCCATGAGCGGTTGCCACATGAAAGTCATGCTGCATTAGCCATTTGGCAAAGGGACAACAACAGACTAGATTTCGCAGAAACCGTTTTCGGCATAAGTAACAACTGCACGAAGCTCACACTTGGTACACTTTAAGTATTATTTTGCTCGGTTGCACAATTGATATAGATGTGCTCCAAATACCTCACTTTGAATGGACAAAAGCAAAGGCGTATTTTTTCCCCTCCCTTTAAACAACACTGCCATTGCTAAAGAGTCATCTGTTAACATACAGGGTCACTCACATCAAGGTGTGTGCTGTTGGGCACATATTGATTCTGGTCACCCATGAGCAGCTCCACTACAGGGTGACGGCCATTTTCGATGACAATCAGACTCTTCTCCTCGACAAACTCGGGCCTGATGCCGAGAAAACAACATTAATAACAACAGCAAAAATGTATGATGCATCACAATCAAGTTAGTGGCATTGTAATATAACTTTCTGACATGGTGATTTAATACATTTCAATTTACAAATCTGTTTAGGATAATTTTAATAACGGGGGGGGGGGGCATGATAACTGTATATTAAATGAATTACACTTAATATTAAACTTGTGTTTCAATTAGGGGCTGACTGTAAAGAAAACTGGCCAAATTGATCAGCAGGTTGCCTAAAGCTTGGAGATAATTAGGTTTCCAATTCTGACTTGCATTACACATTTTAAATCATTACTGGAATGCATATGCGTGATTTATATTTCTTCTTTTTAATATTATCACTCCGAACATCAATGCTCTGTTGCAAGACTATGATTAGTGCAAAGGAAATATATTATATTATCTGATATGATTTTCTATTATCTCAATCTTTGAACATTTTGGCTAATAATTTTATTGGGTTTCAAACTCGGCTATTCTGAATTTATCAAAATTACAACAACAATATGTAAAGACGAAACGCATTGTTGTGACATTTAAAGCTTAGGCAAAAACAAATGGCAATAACCCCCATCAGTTTAAAACAACATCGAAAATCACAAATATATATAAAATTGTGGGCAAAAAATTTGATACCCGCAAAAATATTCGGTAACCAAATGGTCCAAGGCCACTGTATCATACAGTGACAATGTTCAGGCCTCCAAATATATTCCATGCAGAAAATACACCATTTACGTAAAATAATAATATGTTCACAATTGCAACTACTCATAATCTCCCGAATGACTAGACAATTGTGAAAGAAACCGAAAACAGCAGTCGATGTAATGGAAAGAAAAAGAACATGAACGTGTTGGCAATAAAATAATTGCATCATAGCCACACAAAATGAAACACTTCCAAAATAAATACATTGCAAAGCTGTGCAGCCATTTCACCTTTTGCAACACAACACCGTGTGTACAACATTTAATTTGTCACATTCCATTTTGTGCCAGAGTGACACAGTGTTTTGTAGCTGCTTTGTAAACGTTCAAGGTAGCATTACATTGGGATGTTTTTTTTATCTTCAGCAATTACACGGCTTGCAGCTGGGACAATGTCGGCAGTGCACTTTGGAAAGCAAATTAAGATCCCCTGTCAACAGCCCTAACCAGCACAGCATAGCCAAACAATCACAGGTTGCAAGAGTTAAAATGGGGGGAAAAAAGTTAGGTATGGAAATGACAGTGAACAATGGTGAAGGAATAGACTAAGACCTTTAGCTGACCAGATATCATCCTCAGGAATAACAACTGCCCCTTTGCTGTACAGAAATACAGTGCTCAAAAAAATCTATTCCAAAACTGGAACTTTCCAGATTTGATGATTCACAGGTCTGACAGAAAACTTATATCAGAATAAGCCACCATTTTGAGACGGCAGTAAGCTGTTCCAGCAGACGTAGATAGGTGCAATTGGATTATTTCAGATGTTGAGAAACAAATCAAAACAGACATTTAACTGTTAGATTTTTTTAAAGATATTTATTATAGTTAGGTATGCATTAAAACCTGCTGGCTATCCCTCCATAAACACTGTTGTGCTGAAAAGGACACAGTAATTGCTAGGTCGTGCTGGTGTGCAACACAGAACAGGCAACACTTTATAAACAAAGCTACAATTGCTTTTTCATTCCAAACACAAATAACTGCCAACCCAGAGGAGAGAGGCCAACCCGGGGATGGGAAAACCACCCACGCCACCATTACCAACTGGTGACTGGCAACCACGTAATCATCCCCGCGATCGGAAGCATGAGACCCCGCATCCGTAGCTTGTCTTGGGATATCGTCAGTTCGGCGAACCGGTACCTCCTACTCCAATAGTGGTCACCACAAGCACCATTGTGGCTGGTCCTGTCGAAACTTGCCTAGGACCCAGCGGCGGAACCATGTGCACTCTTGAAAACATCTTCTTTGATGCTTGGCTCTCACTCTGCTTCAGAAAGAATGTGGTCTCCTTTCTTAAGCAGCTTTGGTGTACATCACCTTAGTCACAGGCACAGCTTCAATTCTGAACACACCTTCTCTCTTGAAAATAAAGCCCACCAGAGCACTTTTTTGTGTCGGCAGGTGTGGCGTAATTTCTCCGCCCATAGAATTCTGTAGCAGGTGACTAACCCAGACATGGAGTTGCTTCTCAGGACACGAGTTCAATACCCAGGACCACATGGCTTGCTGCTGCCAAAACCAGTTCTAAGAAGTACTGGCGGATAAAAGTGAGTGTGTCCCTGGGCAACTTAAACCTCTCCGAGAGGACTTATTATATTTTAACCAAATAATACGTTTAAACAGCTCTGGGCAATAACATCCCAGATACACCATGCGAGTCCACTTTCATTCTCTCTCCAAAACATTGTCGAGCACATCGTGGAGTTGTAACAGTCCATGTGGAGGCATGCCTGGTTTAATGCGCAGGACTTTGTGTACCATGGTAGCCCCCCACATGGAGGTGGCATCAGACTTGGATCTCCTTGCCAACCATGATTCTGTGGTGTGAGAATTCCATTCTTGACTGGGGCACTTGGCCAGTTTGCAGAAAGCCCTCGCTGGGGCCTCTAACATCCTCCTTTGTACACAAAAAGTGATGCCTATTACAGGAATGGGTGTAGCTGAAGCCAAGCAGGCCCCTCGTTTAGCTGCTCTCAGCTAGCTGCAGCAATAAGGCTTGAAGAGAACAGTACTCATCTCCGTCTTACGCCGGTCCCTCTCCGGCAACTAAGTTTCGAACACCGCTGTGTACAGGGCCTGAACCGTATTGAGGCCTTTGAGCGAGGGGGAAGTGTCTCCAAGTTCTAGGAATCATAGCCCATATTCTCATCCTCCTCGTGTACGTGTAAGACCATCCCCCATTGGTGAGGAAGGGACAGCAGCCAGAATTGCGAGGGCCTGCTGCCTAACCATGTTGTTTGAGACACAAGGCTGGGAACTGGCCCTTGGGCGGGATACGGCTTGGGTCTGTGTGTCTAAACCCCGAGGCTGAAAGGTGAGCCGCACACAGCTCTCCATAACACACTGCAGTGCGCATGCATAGGAGCCTGGGTCAAGTGCTTTTGATCACGGGGGCCATCGTGTGGTGCCAGGTCGCCAGGTCACGGGAGTCTGTGATGGCGGTGTGCCCACCGCGGCTGATCGAATGTATGGACACAATCCGTGGAGACAACGGCATGGACAGTTCTTCTGTGGCCTGGCCAACCTCTCTCCTCTGGGCACCGGTTATTTGCTTGTGGAAGCACGTAAAAAAACATTTCTGCTTTCTATGGTCGCATGCTGGCAGAATTTAGAACTGACCATATTGTGGTGACTGTATGTGTAGCTCTATCAAGCCCTTATTTATATATGTTAAATGGATGAGAATGACATTTTGTGTATGTGTTTATTTTGTTTGTTTAATCAGACTGGCAAAGTCTAATTTGCAAGTGACTTTGGTTACCAAAATCAAAACAAATAAAAATGAGAGCAATAAAATATAGAAATTAGACCAAAAAGCTAAAATGCTACAAAAATAAAATAAGCATTTATACAACCTACGATTAGAATCCAATTTGAATGTAAGTTAATTTGGTTTTATTCTGAATATTTACATTGAACTATGTAAAAATATGTTGGCATACAATTACTTTCAGCATCTCTTTGAAAGGCTTAAGAATACCAATAAAATGTTACATTTGAGTTTTTTGTGTGTATATGCATTATGCATATAGTGAACTCATATAGTGTATAAGTATAGGTCCAAAAAGAGAAAGACCCCTGAATAGCCATATATGACATTTGAATAAGTGCTGTTAGTAAGCACTTATGTGGTGTACCCAACAACCATGTCTGACCACCTTTGTGTCCACAGTGGTGACGTTTACACACCACACGAGGTATTTGTGTAAAATCGGAGCCAAACTCAGAGGCCCAGAATATAATTAAGATAAAATTAACATTGCTATTGCAGTTATTCATGGCCATGAATCGAATCTAGGTTCTCACGGTGCAATTCATGAACCGATGGCATAATTCCTCACTATACGCGCACACATTTCAGAAAGCCACCTCGAATAGAAGAGTGTGGCGAATATGGAAGACTCGCTCACACCTGCAATAGCCGTCTCTGGACGCGATGGCGGCGAGTGAGAAGAGGCAGTCGAGTGTGGCCAGCTGTGCCACAGCGGCACGGAAGTTATGGTAGTGCTCTCCAAACTGCCTGGGGGTGGGGCACAGGAAGGGAGCAGCGGTGACCTCTCCTCCACAACATTTCAAAGTACAATTCATGTCATTCGTGGAGCACACGTATATGTCTAACTCTGATTGAAGGTTACCGTCAAAACGTGTTTATGCCACGCTGATTATATGCGTGTACAGTGTTGCGCAACGTCTGCGAGTGCAAATCTCACTTGCTTAGGCACAACTTGTGTCTTCAACAACGTGTACGCTTCATTTTCATATCTCGCTTAAGGAATAGAAATTGCCCTTTCTGTATAGAAGTTTACAAAGTATTTAAGGCCAAATGGATGTTTTTTTTTCCAGGAGGATAATACATTTGTGTGTGATTACTTGTATTTGCTTTTTATATATCTGTATATTAAATAGTACAAGCGCTCAAAAATAAACTACCTTTAACTTGATGCAAGTGTTTCATTCTCAACATTTTAAGAACCATTCTTTGTCAGAATGAACACACACATGAATGTCATAAGAAGGGAACTTAACATTATTGATTGAACAAAGAAAACCCCAGTCGTAAAACAAAAAAAACATACGTAAGAAAATTTAATTTTTAACATTTTCTGCAACACTGCTCCACAAAATACAAGAGTGCAAATTGGGCACCATCCCATTAAACCCATGCTGTTACCTGCACACAGGCACGACCAGTTGAAGATAAACACGGTGGTTAAACCAACTCAGGCGTGTGGTGCTGCTCGGTCACGGCTACTTTGCGTCACGCACAAGTTGCTTCTAACTGATGGATGGGAAGCCGAGTGCTTGTGAAGGCAGCCTTGTCCACTTAACATTGTCCCCGTCACAAACACGACTCGCATTCCCAATGCATAGTGGGAATCTTGAGATTACCGATGCAGGCTGGATGGCACGGCAGTTACAACAACACGAATTGAAAGAGAGCGAGGCATCTCAACAACAATGATGCTCTTCGTAATTACCCCAGGGTACCAATGCACTGCATCAACACTTACATGGTTTCCTATCCGGTGCCACGAGGCTGTGCTGTAAACTATGCTATAAGAATAATAAAACATGTGTAGTGGGTCCAACTGAGCTGTAAACGTTGTTCCTTTAAGAGGCAACACTTTTATTTGAAACACCGTAACACCGTAACACAAAGGGGTAACTGCCCCTTTGCCAGACTACAGCGAGTTACTGCTACGAAGGGTCGATCCCTCACTCGGGTCTCCGACCACGCGGTTGCCTCGTAAGATGAAGAGCTTCAGCTTGAGACGTAGAGCTTCCCGCTTGTGGATGTTGAGCTTCCAGCTTGTAGAATGCAGCGACCCGGGTCACTCTCAGGGATATAAGGCGGGTCCCTTTGAGGGGGTCCCTTTGAGGGACCCGCCTTATATCCCTCTCTGGTCGGGGCCGCTCCGCCCTCAGCCCCGCCCGCCTTCTCGATCCTTCTCAAGAGCTCTACGGGGTCAACTAGAGTGCCATGGCCCGGGGCAACCCTGCCCCTGGGCTGACACTCTCCCTCGGGGGAGCCCCCACCACACGCTGTGCGTGGTGCCCGCACTATCCCAGTGCTCACCAAGCCCCGCTAGGGCTGGTACTACACACAGCCACCCACACGGTGCTGTCCACGCTAGGGCTGGTACTACACACAGCCACCCACACGGTGCTGTCCACGCTAGGGCTGGTGTTACACACAGCCACCCTCACGGTGCTGTCCACGCTAGGGCTGGTGCTACACACAGCCACCCACACGGTGCTGTCCACGCTAGGGCTGGTGTTACACACAGCCATCCACACGGTGCTGTCCACGCTAGGGCTGGTGTTACACACAGCCACCCACACGGTGCTGTCCACGCTAGGGCTGGTGTTACACACAGCCATCCACACGGTGCTGTCCACGCTAGGGCTGGTGCTACACACAGCCACCCACACGGTGCTGTCCACGCTAGGGCTGGTACTACACACAGCCACCCTCACGGTGCTGTCCACGCTAGGGCTGGTGTCACACACAGCCACCCAAACGGTGCTGTCCACGCTAGGGCTGGTGTTATACACAGCTACCCTCACGGTGCTGTCCACGATGGAGGAACATCGAACGGCACGACCCTTCCGGGCCGGCACCATACAGTGACATCCCTGATGTCACTACACGTGCATAAAAAAACAAGCGTTTTTACATCGCGCCGTTCATCCAAACTGTATCTCACAACACTGCACAATGTGGAAAACATGGAGGTACATATATATGATGTTTTCAGCCAATTAATCGGTGTCTATACATGTGAGAGGAAACTGGAACACTCGGGAGGAAATCGATGCATGCGAGGGAGCAACTCTATTCCATACAGTAGCAACAGATGACATTAGTCCACACTTTGCTGTACCGCTTTCTTCACATTACGCTACGGCTCAGGTGCGCTGCTGTGGCTGCTGATGCAGTACTCACGTGAGGAAACCCAGCCACTCGGCGTTGCTGTCGATTCGCAGTTTCTCCCGGAGCTGGCAAAGCTGCTTGAACTTCTGCACCACAAAAGGCGTATGGAACCGAGTCACCGCCTTCGTACTGTGTTCAGAAAAATATAAATATATATTACGAAAAAATATCACTCAAAATATGTGGGGCTCTGATATTGTAGGTGCGTACCTAGGCTTTGTGTCCAGAACTGTCCAATGCATGTGTAATGAGAGACTTCCGCGACACGTCGTGTAGAGGGGTACTTCTTCTTTATTACTCACACTGGGCACCACACAGGCCAACACCTGTTCTTCCTCACACTGAGTATAACTCTCGTCAATAACACCTCCACTGGCTACACACACAGCCGATCACTCGGCGTGGTCCCACCGCCCTCACTCGGCCACGCCGCTGGCTGGCGGCGTGACGATGACCGCGATGGAAACCCCGCAGGAGACCTTCCACGTGGCCGGACGACGGAGAGAGATGTCGGCGAGCAGCGACGCAGCCAGGACCCAAGACCCCACACACGAGCCCCGGTCCGCTCCCCCTTATATACCCCCAAGCGTGGCTAGGCCCCGCCTCTGGCCACGCCCTCTCGTGGAACCTTCGAGCAGGTTCCCGGAGTACCTCGGCTAACCTCCACCTGTTACCTTTGCCCCAGATACACCTCCTTCTCTGATTGGTTGGTACTTAACCGTGCTCATACCCGTGATTCCCTTTCCTGGCCAGCAGGTGTCACCCTGTCATTACACGTTTGAAAATTCGTTCATGAAAAAATATGTTAAAGTTATCGTCGAGGGCATCATTACAACTCCCGACTTACCGATGTCATTGTAACTTCTGACCCATGTGTTTGAATATATTGTCACTAGTCTGCTATGGTAGCTCTTAACTAGGGTTATAGATAAAACATTCTTACTATCTCACAACAAATCTTCACACTTGCCTTGGACAGTCCAGAAAATAAGCTGAAGGCGTGTATCTATCTATATTAGTTATTATATTGCATCTTCCATGAACATAACACAAGGCAATTTGCCTATATAACGCTTATAAAGGTAAAAGGGTAAAAGGTATGAGAGTTTTTTGGAGCTTTGCAGAAACTCAGAGGTAAGTTCAGAATCAGAATATTTATTAATACTGGATGAATCCGATGAGTTATAAAGCTCTTTTCCACATATGTCCAGTAGCTTGTTTCCATGATAAAGTTGTTTATCATGGAAATGAGCTTCTTTAAAGTCGACATGCATTTTTAGTTTTAATTCAACCTGGGTGCCCATGTGGCATTTGGAAACATTAAGGCATAGCCTTACAAAGACAATGTACAATGTATTTTGAAAATGTTCCAAATTGTAAACAACTTTGTAAAGGAGTGTACCCCAAAAAACAATGGCAGGGAGGTATCAGTGGATCATTATAATTGCTTACATCTTAATAACCAAGACCTCAAACTCAGTGAGGATATGGTTTAATAGAATCGGGCTCCATCTAAATAAGAGTCCTTAGTGGATTTCTTAATTTACATAATTCACTATATAAGGAAACATGCAGACAGTAAGGTGCACTTTAATTGTAGAAATAAAATACTCTTGTGGTGGACTGTATTCAGGAGTGCATTGCAATGTTACAACTGATAAAACCCAATATATAACTGATGCTCGAACAAAGACCCCCATATAGCCCTTAACAGATTATTAAGGCAAGAGCTGTTAGCGAGCACCTATGAAGGCCGGCACTCAGGTCGACGCGTTTGTAGCGCAGCGTGCTAGCCACTGCACTATCGCTTCCCACTAACTGTGCTCATAATCCGTGACTCGCACGTCTATAAAGACGAAAATTTGAATAAAACTTATTAGTTTTAACTCTTGATAATAAAGGGTAATTAAGTGACACAGCTGTGAAATTCTGAATTCCGAGTGGTTGTGCAATAATAACGTAATTACATTATACCTTGGGGATAGGGCCTTTATGGAAAGAAACACTTCAAATGCATTAATCCAATGTTAAGACTGTATTTGAAATGCGGTGATCTGGAATCCTCCGTGGGTTTTTTTTGCAATTAAATCCTCAGCAAATGTCTATACTCACTATGGTATGGATATCGTCTAATAACTAATTATAAAAGCTGTGCACGCGGGCTGTCAAAGTCAAATATTATGCACTGCACAACCACACCCCACTTTGCACATCTCATGCATTTGTGCACGAGCCGGACTATTCCTCATTAACCCATAGACTGCTGTGCACGATGGCTCTCACTTGGGAAATAGGTTTAGAAGAAATGGGAACAGGGAACAAAAAAAACCGCCTTGACATTTACAGCGCAGCGTAGCACACGGCACGGAACAACGGACGCTTATGGACAACCCATACAGAGCACACCATGAAAGGGAGTTATTACTGGCTGCAATAAGCAAATGGAAATGATACTCTGGGACACATGTTGCCACGATGCATTTTTTGAGCCAAGGAACATTTTCTTCATATTCTAATTTAAAATGCCAAGGGGAATAGTTTGCTTGCAGGTAGTAGTGGTACATTTTTATTTATATATACACACGTATAGGAGACACTCTTCAGATCACCTAGGTAATGCATTGATTGCCACCTGGTGTCAAAAGGTTATCACTTCTTTGATGCCTTTGAACTGCAACGTCACGCAAAACAATTCCTTCATAATTTATAATCAGATATATGCAAAAACAGTTACACTGTATGTCATTGTGAAAATCGGAATAAAATTACTCAATAACGATCAGCAAATACACGTAAACACTTGATGCCTGCCACAAGCTTTGCATGTGCACATTTTAGAACACATTCTAATAAAACGAACAACATAGAGATGGAAATAATGAACATCTGGCGAATCAGGTTCATTGGAGATAAGGCATATATATGTTTAAATAATCCCCAATATGTTAAAATCAAAATAAAGTGGGCAATTATTATGAGAAATAAAATTCAATGGGAAACTTACGCAACAATTTGAACACATTTTCTTATTACATACATTCTAATTTGTCGAGGGATATTCCTGCTCTCGCATATGTTTTCTGGCAATACGCATGGCTAGCGACAATGTCAACAAATATCTGAACGAGTTGACAGCTTCCTTCCAGCTAGTTAGGCATAAATCAGTCCTTTACCAGGCTGTCGTTTTCTCTTAAATTAAGTACATTTGTGCATGCACCTGAATGCATCTGTGGCAAAGTTAAATGCTTATGATTCAAGCCAAACACCATCAGTCTGTGTTTATGCATATATGTACACATTATATACATGCACACACTTGTGCATTTATATATATTATAATTACATGAATCTAGGTTCATAAGGGATATATAAAAGTTTAGAGTATAGATGTTAAATATACAGCATGTATACAGCACAGTATATATTTACACTGAAAAATGATTTGATTTAGAGATGGCGCCTTATACGCAGAGGCGTCTCAGAGGGCTTTGCTTTGCATCTCAATTCAAACATTTGAAAGGGCACCCCCAGTGGCAGCTGTCAACTGTGGGCACAAAGTGACTCAGAATCTGGAGGAATTCGATGAGCTATAAAGCTCTTTTTCAGAGGTGTTCAGAAATGGAAGGTCAGAATGTTACAACAACAAAAAATACAAAAACACGATAGGAGTGAAAAGTATAGGAAAGGTAAACGAACCCCTTAAAAAAATACTAACAAATTAAACTAAACTATTTTCATCTTACCAGGTAAAGCCCACTGAGCTATTTGCTTCTTTTTCAGAAGCGACCTGCCCACAAATGACCGCTCAACGAAGTGGCTAATCATGTGGAAATTTACAGCGGCAAAATAATCTGAATAACCTTGCCTGCAAATGGGCATTATGTCTGTCAGTTGTGGCCAATTATTGCTATGCCCAATCCCAAATTGAGTCATTTGTAGGTACTTTTTGAATTTTAAAATTTGGATTCTTGACGCCTGCACACAATGACATCAGGGGGATTTGTCAATGTCCACTGTGAAACAGACGGCGCGTAGTGTCATCGTGGTTATTACACCCGCATATGGAATCAGGGCGGCCGCTGGATTCGAACCGTGAACGCGCTAATGCTGGATTCGAACAAGCGGCGAACGCGCTAATGATGGGCCACGTCACACTTATGAATAATATACTGCAGACATATCAGTTGATACCCTATTAAACAAAAAACAGATGACAAAGCACAGACATTTAAAAGTTACACCTCTAAATTCATAACACCTTACTACTAGAGGATGAATCAATCGTTGACCTTAGCTTGTCAACATTTATTTATTTATTTAACAATTAAGCATTGTATTCGATTTTTATGTGTTGAGCAGTTTACACATACAGTATATGAATATCTAAAAAGGATAATCATCTTGTAATCCCAAAATCCAAATCCCAGCACAGTGGAAAGGCCTGTTAATCTGGGGGAAATGGTTGTGGTGGTGGTGATTTCCAATGCCAGCTGTTAAACATATCGCACGCCACGTATAATGAAAGTTATAACTCTGGCGGTGTCTCTCGTGGTTTACGTAATGATTCCACAACGGTGGCCGAGTCACGAACGTGTCCTTTTGCCCATGAATTTGGTGGGGCATGCAGTGTCTCCCGACCCAACGTGAATAAATGCATTCTACAATCGCCCCCTCAACGATTAATTGTCTGCATCACTCACCATAAAACAGTCTCAGACTATTCATTGCTTTAAATACCCATCACCAGCATTTCCAAATCGGTGCATTTATCGGTTGGTCGGGATGCATTCAGCAAGCCGCTCATCCTGAGATGTAAATCAGTAAGAGGAGTGCTCGATCTAAGGGAAATCTCACCTGCCAATCTTTACCCAGTTGGAAGGAACTGTGTGTAGCATGGAATTCCTCACTTCTATTAAAAACTGGGAGGAGGGGGGGGGGGGTAAAAAAGGCAATGAAGTATTTGAACAAACAGAAAAAAAGCACAAGATATGTTATGATATGATACTACAGAGTGCTTAGGTATAAAATTGTCATAACTTAAGTGAATAATACTTATAATAGTACAGAGCATTTAATTAAGGATCTGAAAGTGCTGCACAAGACAGGAGACAGAATGAAAATAAAATAAATACTGACAGAAAAACCTTTCCACTTTAATGCTCTCATGCTTATAAGCAAATTAAAGAAATGTTTGGGCATATGTGACAATATAAGTGTAGGTTAGTGGTCATTAAGCACAGGGCAGCCAGAGTTAACAGGTCAAGAGCAGAGCTATCTGCTAATTAGGGCTTCCTATTCATGGCAATAAGGAGGTAACACCTGTAGCGATGTTGGTCTTTGATTAAAAAACACTTCAAAGCTCTTTACATCAAATCAATTAGCTCCATACCTAACCCACAATTTCAGAGTTTTAATTCTCTGCAGAAGAGTGATGTCTCAGTTGTAATGGCTTTGCGGATGACTAGGTCCTGTAGGCAGATTAAACAAATATGACAGTTTTACGTGAATGTTACAAATATCAAAAAGTGACACTTTTTCAAATGAAACCAAATTATTGAAAAAACGATTTAGAGTTTTTTTCAAATTAAAGCAAAAATTTAAATCTGCATTATCCTCGCTTAAAATAAAATCAATTTTGTAATACAGTTATGATTGTGCTTATGCAGTGATTTTGTGCCAGCTTTGATAAGATGCTTCTTCTTAAAAATAATATAAGTAATTTGATAATTTACAAACTATGGTAGTTTATTTAAAAATTGTTATGTAATGCAGAATTACATTCCCATGTCCAATGTCTTAGGCTCTTTTAAACATAAGTTGGATTATGTCCCCAACTGAAATATTCTCTTGGTGCCGAGGTGAGATACAAATATGTAAAATATGAACCAAATTGTAAGTGCACTAACTACCACTCAATATTATACACAGACAACATAAATAACAATGAATTGGAATTTCTAACAGCAATATTACGTCTAAGAACAAAAATGTGCTCAAATATGTAAGCTTTTTTGTTATTGCAATGCTGAGAAAACTTGCATCTATCAGCAACAACTGCACTACTGAAAAGCCAAGCTAGTGCAGAGGTGATCCATCCTCAAAAATAGTAGGCGAAAGGCGGTCAGGGACTGGGATGGTGGCACCCAGGAGACTAATTAAACATCAATCTGATAAGCAAAATGGAATCACAGTGTTCACGTCCAGTTCGATTAATAGATGTAATGTGGACTACACAGAAAACCATTCATCATTTTGTTTGACGCCAGGCCTTTGTGCTTTACCCGGCAATAGTGCTCTTTAAAATAATCCAAAATGATGCACAGGACTATTTACAGTAGAGTTAAACCCTTTTAAAAGCTTAGGTAGATTTAAACAAATTTTAGTGTTTAACAACAAAAAGTACAAAAAAAGCAAAACACATTTCTTTAAATGTATGTTTCTTTCTTTGGAAAAATTTCACCCCAACATATGGAATTGTGCCACATTATTGATAGTATGAAGGTAACTAATAATTTAATGATCAAACATGGACCGTGTAAACTTGTTTCAGAATGCTTGTATTCCCCAAATGCATGGAAAACTCACTATGATGCCTAAACAAACGTAACATGACCAGATTATGTGCCCTATAAATAAACGTCAGCAGAGTAAGTCTTCATTGCTATGTTACTCTGCTACGATTTTCCAAGCAATAAAAATATTCGAATATTTTTTTTTCATCAGCCAAATTTAACTAGAGTCCCCAGAAATGGTAGAAAACATTTTGGAGGCATGCAAAGAATGTTGAAACTTCCAATTGAAGATTTCAATAACCCCACAATAAATAAGGGAGGCCAGATAATTATCACGATTGGCCATGTATGGTGCGAAATAAGTTGAACATCCATACATATAGATGAAATACAAAATATTCCAGCATAGTGAGGCTGTGCAAAATGATCACCAATAATGTAGCAAAACCCTGGATAACATCACATCCTGCCGATAAGGTAGATACATCTGTAGCACTCAAAACCCATCTTTAAGAGGTTTTATTTTTGGGCGGTTAGATCGCGTAAATATATAAATGTGTCGTTAAAACCCGCCACCACCCGACAGAGCCAACTAGTAAGGGAAAGAACCAAAGAAGATGAATCATTGCAGTCACGAAAGCTTTAAATCGAAATTTAGTAAGGGTCATCACGGAAACAGAACGTGCCAAAGTGATAAAACTCATTTTGTTACACCTATTATACTTGCATGTACTTGAATGTTTTAAACATACCCTTTATTTATCCAGGAATTATTCAATAAATATGACGGTCCTACATTGGGAAGTATTATCGATTGCATGAATGAGCATTTAGCATATGGGGGGGGGGGCAAGGGGGGGTGTTTGGGAACCAAAGTATATTGAAAAAACCTATGCATGCGAGTGGAAACTATTCACACGGATGTCCCACACTGATGGGTCCACAAACACATTTTCTTCACTGCCACCACCTGGCCAGCTTGTGGTTATGGGAGGTTTACAATCGTGCATGATCCACCAACCCTTGCATTCAAAGTGTTGGATCACGGGCTTGCACTACCATGCCCGGATCGGCGACCGCACGCCTTGACTATGGTTCTTGGCCTGTTTGACACGTAGGCTTTGGCAACCAATATTATCCATAAAGGGGCTTTTTTAGGGTTAGATCGTGTAAATATGTGTCTTTAACCCACCAACACCCAACACAGCCAATGAGTAAGGTTTGTCACGTAAACAAAACGTGCCAATTGGTTACTACTGCAGCACACCGGTGCGTTGGAGAGTAAACCCACAACATTTACAATCTTGAGTTCTTAGCCTGCTAAGTTAGACGCGCCAGTCTGGCGGTGACGGGGGGGGGGGGACAGGCACCTCTTGGCCGGAGACGGTGGTGTAGTCGGCGGCTGGGCTACGCAGAGTCCGCCGGACCTCAGTACGGTGTTCCCTGAGCTCTTCCAAGACTGCCCGGATCTCCTCGCTACGCCTCAGCATGCGGGGAAAGCCTGTCAGGTCCGTGAATAGCCGTGTCTTGTCACCTTCCCTGCCGAATCATAAACCCACGTTACGACACTTACCATAACAAGATTTCACTTCTGAAAAACACCACCTAGGCAGTGAGTTGGAGCACGTACACCAAGCCCTCAGGATAAACGGATACTCGGACCGGACAATCCGCAAAGCGTCGTCTCCCCAGCCATGGGGAGACGACCTTTTGAGGATCCAACCAAAACCATCACTTTACCATACATAGCAGGGGTTACCAAAAATATTTCCAAAATCTTAAACAAACACAAGATCCAAGTTTGCTTAAACACAGTACACAAAATCCGTGATTAAATCCCATCTGTAAAGGATGCGATTCCTGACATGCAATATCCTGGTGTCTACAAACTGAGTTGTGGTTGCGGCAGCAGTTACATTGGGGAAACGAAACGACATGTCTCGGACCGCGTTCGTGAACACAAGGTAGATCTGAAACACGGTAGGACCAATACCTCTGCCGTTGCTGATCATTGTTTTAACGCTGTGGGCTCACACGAAATGTATTTCTTCAAGACGGAGGTACTCTGCAAACCTACCGGCTACCTTCATAGATTTGTTCATGAAGCCATCCAGATATATAAAACACAGACACAACTTCAACTGAGAAGATGGATACAAACTGAGCAATCATTGGAAGGACGTTATTAACCAGGTAAAGTCTGAACTGACTGTGATGTTTCCATCCTACCTGCCTATGTCAGTTGTTATTTCCGACTCTCTGAGTACATCACCAGGTTGAATATCTGTGAGGCGGCCCAGCAACAGGAGGATCCCCGCCACCTCCGGTGGCTGGGACCGTCTCGCATTGACATGCTAATCTCTCACATTGACATTTACGCGCAAGTTCCTTCTCTAGCTCCGCCCACTTACCCTTGGGTTGAGCCCACCAAAATCCTACATAGACTCTTGTTGCAGCAGCTCTCTTTCTCCTATGTCAGCAGTTCTCCTGCTGCATCTGTTCCACCGGATGACGGTCGCTTGTGTTGCGATCGAAACGTCGCGATTCATTTTATTTTACACCTACGTGACTTTACCGAAAGAATCAAAGAGTACAAGTTATCTCATTGGCTTGCTTTACGGCAAAATATAAGAATCCGTGTACACAAGCACAGTTGTATTCTTGTGAATTGTGCATAATATAACCTTGAAATCATTTTAGACCAACAAGTCAAATGTATCGTTAATGACGTCAGCCACCAATAAAGGCATTTGTTTCTAAATTGTTGGCGATTTTGCATTCACAATGTCCTTTCAGACATGAGGCACATTATATTCACGTCGAATTTCCATCAAGGTCAACAAATGTCAGAATCATTCTAAACATGTGGGGAAAAATCAATTGAAAAAATAAGTCCATAAATATCTGGCCCTTTCTTTTCAACCGTAGCCAACGATGTAAAAATTAACCCTGTGTCTTGTGGTTGACCGCCTGAGAGATGAGATGAAGGGCAGGAGTTTTGTCATCAGCAACTAATATATCTGATCTGAAACGCAGCAGCTTTTAAAGTTCCTTTTGCCCTTCCTTAATAATTCAAAATTTGCTAATGCTTGCACATTTGTCTCTCTCAATGCTTTTACTTAAATCAAAGGCTGCCAAGTATGAGGTAAAAAAGCACCAACATTGTTATAAGGTTATTGGGCAGTAACAAATTCATGAATTTAATTTTAAAAAAATTGGATTTTCACATTGTTAATTCGGTTAAACTCAAAACACATGCAATGAACAGAAAATCATGCAGAAGAAAAGTAAGGATTATTTTCATTGTTGTTTTACGAATAATAACGTCAAATATAATTCAAGCACAGCACATACGAGTTAGAAAGTAATGATTCTATGGAGCGATTGTGCTCGAGTTTAATTTAGCATTTAGTTGTAAGACTCTACAAATGTGAGTCACAACAATAGAACCGTTATTCCTAATATTTCAAATTAAAAACAGCAATTAGGTTTGCACTTTGATGCCGAGACTTTATTATTGGATGGGAAATCTGGAATGTCAGAGCCGGTCTTTTATCAAGTACCTCTACATCACCAAATGCCAGGTGTGATGGAAGAAGCACCTCATGGCATTAAGCGTTAATGAGAAATGACTGCAAAGCTATCCCACAAGAGAAGCTCTCCATTTCAGGCCAATTCTACAGAGGGCCCAATCTAAGACTTAAAAAACACAGCCATAGGTTTTGAATGCGTAATACTGCTCCGTGCAGGCTATAACCTTTGCAAACCAATTACAATTGAATCAGGGAAACTATGATAATTGTATACTCAAGCTCCATGCAAGCCAAACAATATTAGTTTTAAAAAGGAACAATGTTAGTTATTGTGTTCGTTTTGTACAAAATGTACATTTAATAGTTTATATCTACAGTCTACTACCTATCTGGAAAAATTAAAAAATGGGTTACAATTGCATTACTGCTCAAGTAATCTCAAGGTTTCCTGTATTATACGTAGATACAATACAGTAGACATTATAACTACCTGCCTATGCTCTATAAGTTGGTCTAAAAGAGTTAGAAGTCTGTCTTTTGTAATTACAGTATTTCTGCTCAACATAGACATTCACACAGGTTAAAATAATTGTTTCAATGGTTTTTACAGAATGCACAAATGAGAGCAAATTAATCGACACGATCCTGTGAGTGGCGCTGCTATGCCAACTCCAGCATTCAACTACAAACATTCCAGAATTAATAAACCAATAAAACAAAGCCCAATCCCCGATGGGTGCTAAATTTTGCATGTTGGTGCCTAAAATTTAAAGTTAAATTAAATGGCAGGAAAACACTGGGACCACCCAGGTCAACACAGATGGAAACAAGAGCTGCCAGAAAAAAAGAAAAAAAAAACACACACAAGTCACTATTGAGAACAAGACAAAAGGCATTGGTGCAGACGTCTCACTTGGCGGCCTGTTTGTCCAGCACACGGGTGTAGTGTTGTACATGCTGCAGCCGACGCGGCACATCCAGGAGGATGCCGAGCAGGAGCGGAGAGGAAAGCTGGTCCTGAGCGGATGCGGCCAGTGCGTGAGTCTCTGTACATAGTCTCTCCAGGCTGCTAGCAATCAGGCTGAACTCCTTTGTTGAACACTGGGTAAACGACATGCCAGTATTTAAGCTGATGCAATATTAATAAAATGAAAAAAAATAAAACGCACTTCAGCAAAACATTTTCTTGCTGTGGTTTTCCCACCTGATGATGATTGCTTGCGTTGCAATCGAAACTTCGCGATTTAATTTATTTTATTTTATACCTGCATGACTTTACCGAAAGAACCAAAGAGTACACATTGTAAAGTTAAGATATAAATTGTACGTAGCAATACCGAAGCAGGCAATGTGTGGCTCTGCGGTCTCTTTCCATATTTGAGACAGGATTTCAACATCCTCAGGGCGTAACAGATGTCTGGACGTGATTAAGGCCCCCACCAAGTTGACTTATCCCAAATGAGTACTTGATAATGTGTCTGGTTCTACAGAATTGAAAACCGTCAACTCTACATGACCCAGAACAACCTACTCTCGGGTGTGCTCACAGCAAAAAAAAACAAGTGCTTCCCTGAATTACTTACCCCTAAATTACGTGAATATTGCACCTTTCATCCACCATCTCACCTTGACATTACTCATGCTGTCCGATTTAAACACATATACTTGTATTCATAATTAGTCATGGGCTGTCGGAAGCCACTGGGATCCTTCATAGCCACCAGGGTCATTCGTGGTAACTGTTCTTATCTGACCTCGCATAAGGACCAAGACCTTTGAGGTTTGGGCAACAGTAACTTTCGTACGCATAGACAAAGCAAGCCTTTTTAGATGTTAAACACTAGGTACCTTTCTGTGATAGATGCTGGTCAGTCCACGTTCCAGATCTGGTAGCTTCCAGAGCAATTCCTTAGCACGGCTCAGCACCATGTGTTCCGATGCCAGGATTTCACTCACACAGTCCAGACGTGCATTGATGTCACTGCGAGGGCACACATGATTAATACTTCTTGTGCCAGCAGTAAAATTACTAAGCATATAACTTAACTATTAAAAAAAATGTCATTTACAGTATTGAGAGGATGCTATTATGCTGCAATGGGCACACATTAAAAATGTGACTTACTATATAGAAAATGGATAGGCTTGTCTGTATGCTGAAAAAGTGTGTTTTTAGTCTATAAGCAGACATGTTTTTTAGTAATAATAATAAAGGTTTTTGGGTTAGATCGTGCAAGTATAAATGTGTCGTAACCCTCCACCAGCCGACACAGCCAATTAGTAAGGGATTTGTCACGTAAACAAAACGCCAATTAGTTACAACCTCAGCCCACCGATGTGTTGGAGAGTAAATCCACAACATTTACAATTTGAGTAATTGACCAGTCAAAGAGTTCCCATGATGTGTTCATAAAAGAGTACAATTGTAGCATATATTAAGCAATGCCCAGAGATCAAATGGTAGAATTGCACTGCCTCTTGTTGTAAATTCTACAGCAGTGGTTCTCAACCTTTTTGGTCTGGTGCCCCCCCCCAATTAAGACCACTGGCCCTCCCCTTCGGACCGTGGTCCCTTAGCATACCCCAGCCCCAGGTTGCCACAGTCTACAATACACAGACAGATTACATGTCCACACATCTAGTCAACGCGGAGTGAGGAATGACTTTGTTTTATGTTGTGCTATTAGTGTGTTCTGTCGCCACAACCTCGCTCTGACGTTCCCTGCACACATTCGAGTATTTCCTACAAGGTATCCATGCCACTGCCTAAGCCACATTTGAAAGGCTTTTGCACCCTCACAGGAGGACAATCCACACGGGTTAAGGCCTGCTGCTCTAAAGTAACAATCAGAAAGACCATCCCAAAAGACGTTTTTTTAGGGTTAGAAGATCCTGGATTTATGCAGTGAGACAGAAAGAAAAAAAACGCAGATCCTACTTTTTTACAAACCAATATGTGAAAGCCGAATTCAATGTACTTCAGTCAAAGTATAATTTACTTAACCGGCTATTAAAACCAAACCTAAACATTGCGTGGAGAACAGGGTAAATTACGGAATTCTCACAATTTGTCATGGCAATGTTATGTTGTCATTTAAAACATCAGAAGAGCCATTAATACTTAAAAAATAGCTGAAATTATGCATACATTTTATAGATTCAAACAAGCAATGTATTATTTTTACAATCGATTAATCGGCATCTATTTTTAAACAAACACCTCTCATGTTTCAAATTTGTTCAAAATAGGCAAGTGCTAACATAAAGTAAAACATGTATGCATGTATAAAAAATGGATATCTATTTGACATTCTTTATTAATTGCTGTGGACATTACATGTTAAATATAGGGTCAGTTGCACGTCCATCAATTACATGGTAGTAAAACCAAAAAGAAAGTCAGAGTGACAAGAAGAACAGAAGGAAAGTGTGAAAAAGGAGGTCTCGTAATTTTATTATTTCATTTGCTATATGTTCATCCGAGAGCTCTGAATAGAACAGAAAACAAACATGTAATACGAGTTTCACTTCAAAAACATCAATTTATTTTTCAGAATAGAAAATGATTAAACTATCCCAAATACACAAACTTGCTATAGCCACTACTTTCTACACCATAGGCAAGAGTAGAACCTTCATGAGAGTGGATAACAGTTTCCTGAACATTATCAATTAGGGTTGGAGGCCCAATGACTCTTGTGAAATTCAAAAAGAAAAAAAACGCACTGTAAAGGATTGGAAAAGGCAAATACACAGAAAGAGTTTGAAAAATAATACTGTTTGGATGATGACATGGAAATAAGTATTGTCATACACATTTTTTCGCCACATTGCTGTACACCCGCAAGAGATCTAAATTAAACCCTGTACCAATTGCAGATGTCATAGGCGGAACAAAATAAATGGTTGTCAAAAGCTGTGGGCATGATTGAGAAAAGTTTTCATGGGAAAAAAATGTATATTTCAAAATCCTTCATGTCCATCAAAGGGTAGTTATAAAATGACAAATATACCAATCAGAAATAATGTTGCATTGCCATTCTTATATTCCAATGCAAATGCTATTTTCAATCTTTAAAAGACTTAAATAAAGTGAATGTCTCGACCATGAAGCCAAAGTCATTAAATGTGATCATCGCACTGTGAAACAGCTATTCTGGTTTTATTAATTAAAGGCTTATCTGCATAATCCCTTGATATGGGATATATAATTTGCAAGGGTCTCAATAGATTCGAATTAACATGTACATATTTTCTCCAAAAGAGAACAGATAGAAAATAACCTTGGAAAATGATTCAGACCTTTTTAAGTAAAAAGGTTGATCATTATTTTTCTTAAATTGGAAATACAAGCAAAATTAAGTCCATCATATACCCCAGTAAACTAGTTACTTTTCAGATAAGAAGATATTCGAAATGTCAAGATTTAAGTATGCCATTTTGCTGGATATATAACTGCTATTCATACATGTCTCAAAGTCAGCAACTAGAGTAGCCGAATTGGTTAAAACACAGTGGATTTCTTCCGAGTTAAAAATGTCGTCAAATTAAATGGTGCTTTTGGCACAGAAATCAGAACGACTGCTTCAAATATCAAGGTGCAGAGAATAGCAGCCCATGTATTAATCATCACCAGTATGTTAAAACACAAACCAGACGAGACACGTTCTTCTCGGGAAAAGCAAATCGCAATGTCAAGAGTTTTTGTCCGTGGAGATATGCTTCAACGTATAGTTTTTTTTTTATTCAGGTACCTTATTGAGATGAGAGGGCGGCCAAGCCAGTTCCTGAACATGCGGCGACCAAACGGAGTGCACGTGCGATCCATAGCCCACAGCAAGCTCCCCTTCACCTTGCCGTTGGTCTACAAAAAAACAAAAAAAAATTCGTCATCAAGGAAAACTTTATATATTTTGATGTACTACAGTTCAAACTACTTTTGAATAACTGCAAACATTTTACAACTGATAAGTTTACTTGTGGGGTAGAGTGATGGCAGAAGTGGTTAGATAAAGCACCACTGTGCCATGAACCTCGCCAAGTTCGCTTCCCAGCCATGGCTAACATAGATGGTGAGGGATGTATGAACCAGTCCAGAACCGCCCCTTCACAAACCCACACTAGCATCAAGTACGGTGGAATATATCTCATGACAGACAAAGCGTGGGGAGATCTAACATCCAGTAGTGGAGTTAAAATGAGCTTGGAATAATAATTGGAAATGTACAATTCTGTTGTGTAAATCACGGCGAATAAGGGCTTATTTATTCGTGTCCAATTGAATGATCATCAAGTGTCCTTGCAAACACGAGACTAAAATTTTAAATCAGAAACTCTCATCAAGGTAAAAGATCTAACAATCACCTAGAGAGATAAAGAAATGCTCACTCAGACAATTATATATCAAAATGTAATGTAAGTATTTATGAAAATGGCTATATTATTGATATTACCTGATTTTGGAAAAGCTCCATATTTTTTTGTGTAATTCCATTGATGTGCAAGCACTCACTTTCCATGGAAAATTTCTGAAAATTACTGCGAAGTAAACATAAGTAGATTAGTTTTTAAAATATAGCATTTCCCAATTTAATTTATCCAATGTATAGATAAAATATTCTGTGGGCTTCAGAAAATAATTACACATACTGCCGACTCATGTAAACAAATAGAACAAGCATCATTCTCGATGTTATGAATATAAACATCGTTTGTAAATTCAAAACACAAATGATCCGACAACAGCATATTCTTCAGCACATTCCAAAACACATTTTTTTTCATGCGAGCACAATTATCAAATAGTGCCAGCCAGCCCACCCACCCCCGCCCCTTTCCAAAGCATGATGGTACATCTCAAAGAGCCCATTTCCACTCGGACCGCTTAAACGCATCCATCCTAAATGCCACGTGTCACAGCAGGCCAGCGGAGTTCCCAATCCGTGCACCAGTGCGGTCGTGCAAATGACAGCTAACATTTATTGAGAATCGGCCTGGCCGCTCAGCGACAGGCACTGCATTTATCACTTGGCAAAAGCCGACTTGTAACGACAGGGCCACCCTGCCAAAGCACCGGCTATCTGGCCACCTGACGGATGGACGCATAAGGGGTGCAAGCAATGGCAGTGCTGCATGTGCACGCATCATCCCCATCCAATATTCCCATACGCCAAAACAATTGGAACATTTTGTTAGGTCTGCAATTTTATTTCAAATCGGACAATTTTCTCAAATAAATCTGTCATTACGCACCGGAAAAAATACATTTAGGCTTAGTAAATGGGGAAGTTGAATTGCGGTTTAAGTGATTTATTATTAGACCACCTTACACAATAATTGAAATTCTGATATTTTATCAAGAGTGAAAAAGCTGCTTCTGTGACGTCAGTGGCCATGTTCATCGACTCCACCTCATGCTGAAGTGACCAGTGATCAACGCAATCGGAACTGCAGTAGCCAGTTCAGCTTCTTCATCTGACATGTACATACAATATCTGAATGTATATATATTTTAAACATTATATTTAATTCTACAAAATTGTTGTATTCTATCGTGCATTATCATCCAACAACATGCCATAACATACAATATTGAACATCTGAAAAACAGCAGCGTATTCATTTTTATTCATTTGACATGGTTATGTTAAATACTCTTGTACACGGAACCAATACTTCTTTGGTTCTTTCGGTAAAGTCACGTAGAATGAGAATAAAATAATAAATTGATAAAATAAAATAACACAATAATATTCTCACGACGTTTCGGCCACAACACAAGCGACCTTCATCAGGTGAAGGGACGAGACTGTCTGGAGGACAGCGGTGGAGTGAAAAAGCCACGCTCAGATCGTGACCTTTAAGCTGTGATACTGATCTGTAAATACCACGTTTTTATAATCTTGTATAGCCTAATCACACATGTTTTTCTTATTACACTCAATGGTGTAGATAAAATAAGGAAATATGAGCTTTTGTATGAAAAACATGTAATGACAGGAAAACTTTAACAGAAATCATTTTTAATGCGACAGTTAACAATAGGATTTGTTTCGATTTAAAGCTTTCGTGACTGCAAGGATTCATCTTCTTTGGTTCTTTCGGTAAAGTCACGTAGAATGAGAATAAAATAATAAAATAACACAATGAAATTCTCACGTTTCAATTGAAGCTCTGTCGTCCCGACAGTTCTGTTCTTTCACCTGAAGAAGGCTGCTTGTGTTGTGGCCGAAACGTCGTGAGAATTTTATTGTGTTATTTTATTATATTATTTTATTCTGATATAACGTGACATTACCGAAAGAACCAAAAGAAGGTGAATAGGATTTGTCACGATAATTTAAAACCCTTTGTCAATCCACTGCTGGATGAAGGCTTTTCCACTGCATATCAATCACGGATGTTGTTTCACCAACAACATCCGTGGTCGGCGTGGGTTGGAGAGGAGTGGGGGACACAGAACCGGTTCGGATATCACTTGTCACTGATGTGAGCCACAGCTGGGAATCAAACTCAGGTCACCTTGTTCGTGGCAGAGTGCGCAAACTACTGCACCACTTTGGCTACCCTCTTTGAAATCACCTGGCTGAGCACACACCTGTTTCACCCTCATTCGAAATAAAAAAAATGTTCAGGCTGCGCAGTTTTTTTTCATTGAAAGGACATTTGATTGTTTAATCTACATTCTGGTACAAACTACTGCGAAATCCATCATGGTTTTAAGCATTTACAATTATGTACTGAGGGGCTGAGCGGTAGTGCAGTGGTTCACACACTCCGCCACAAACCTGGCGACACGCGCGTACTTCCTGACCACCGCCAACATCAGGGTCTAGTGATACCTGAATCAGTTCCTGGTAAAGTATGGCCAAGCAACCTCTCTGAGGATCAGAATCAGAATATTTATTTATACTGGAGGAATACCATGAGCTATAGATTTCTTTTTTTTCACACATGTCCAGTAGGGTCATTTCAGAACATTACAACAATCAATACAAAAACACGACAGGAGCGCAAAGTATAGGAAAAGGTACACAAATCACTTTAAAAACATATACAAATAAAACGCAACTATGTTTTAACTTCCCAGGTAAAGCCCACAGAAGCGACCTGGCCACAAATGGCAGCTCAAACTTACGTGGGGAGGCCTTTATTTAGCAGTGGATTGACCATGGAGTCTAAACTATTGTTATTTTTTATCGTAATGAAACCATTATCATTAAATACAAGAGAAAAATCTAAATAGAATGCTTATGAATCTAAACAATGTGTAGCGACATAGAATTGGTTACTACGTAGTATAGCGCTGGCTGCTGGCAGGGAAGGGGATCTGCAGAATGAAGCAGCCCTGACTGACAGCAGGCCACGTGACAGACCCAAGAGGGATCTAGGGTAAAGGTTATGGAGGGGATGCGTCGAGAGCCCGCTCGTAGGTTCCAGAAGGGGGGCGTGGCCGAGGTGGAGCGAGGCCACGCTGACAGGATAAAAGGGGACCCTGAGCGGGGTATCGGGGCCGTCGTTTGGAGTGGGATCTCCTCGTCGTCGTCGTCGCTGTCGCCTCTGGCCGAGGTGGAGCGAGGCCACGCTGACAGGATAAAAGGGGACCCTGAGCGGGGTATCGGGGCCGTCGTTTGGAGTGGGATCTCCTCGTAGTCGTCGTCGCTGTCGCCTCTGCCGCTGTCGTCTCGTGCCTTCGTCGCTGTCGTCACCCACTTGATAATTGCGCTGCTAGCAGTAGTTGGCTGTCTTAGCTCAGCACCGTCAGTGTCAGACGGCTAGCGTTGTGTTGTAGGCGAGCAACCAGAGTAGAGTTGCCTTTAAGCGAGAGACAGAGCGTTGTGTAACAGCAGAGAGTGTGTAATAGTGTGCTCGGTGTTAAAATTAAAGAATTGCCTCCAATAAGTTACGTCTCCAAGTCAGTCACTACAAATGTAAAAACACCTTTAAAACTTTGGGAAATTATTGCATAAATATATATATTTTTTCTACGGATACTCATATATCAATGTAATGTACAATTACTCGCATTATAATCAAAACATAAGTAAAAATGTTGCCAAATTCACACAATAATAGACAGCTTGCCAGCGATTAAACACATTGTCAGTGAAACGTTAATCTAGATTTGCTATTTATACTCCATGCTTAGCCACTATATTGTTGCACCTTTGGAATACTTTGAATACGACTCAAATATACATTTTTCAGAGTCAGGATAGATGTAGGGATGTATGTTGAACTTCTTTCGCACCGTACATAGTCAACCGTGCTAGTCGGAAGTGCGGGGGAAGGACAACAAACTAAACACAAAAAGCAGTTCTAAAGAAATGAGTTTTCAGTGGCTTCCTAATCAAGCTCTAGTAGCTTCCTCATAATTGAGCGTCCATAACTGAGCGATGGTTGACCAGGGGCTTCGACGAAATGCCTTGGACTCTTGGGAGCAGAAAGTCCATGGATTGTAGAAGAGTGAAACAGAGGCGAGGACGTGTTCGTACCTTGACAGGTAAAGCACCCTCTCCAGCCCAAACTCCGTTAGGTAGTGAATAAGGACCGCGAGGCAAGCAATGATGGGCTTCTCCATAGCCAGCACATGGGACAGCTTCTGTTCATCTGTTTACACATTGTAAAACAAACAAACACTACCACCAATCAGCACATAAAAAAAAATAAAGTTACACAAACTGGAAACGCGGCACCATGAATCAGAATATCAGAATATGTATTTATACTGGAGGAATCTGATGAGCTATGAAGCTCTTTTTCACAGATGTCCAGCAGGGGCGGTTAAGAACGTTACAACAGCAAACAATAAAAAAACACGATAGTAGTGCAAAATACAAGAAAGGTAAACAAATCACCCAAACATACACAAACAAAACTAAACCATCCCCATCTTACCAGGAAAAGCCCACTGAGGTATTCACTTATTTTTCAGAAGCGACCAGGCCAAAAATTCTAGCTCAACAAAGTCGGCGATCATTTGTACATTTACAGCACCAAAATAATCTAAATAATAATAGCTTAATGCGCTGGTTTGTCTGGAGCCAAAGTGAAAAAATTATGTTATGGCAGACAAACATCAAATTTTATAAGGTTTGTTTGTACACTTCAGTGATTAGTCCTTCATTGCATGCTATTAACTGACTCAGTAAATCCTAAACTAGGCATGCATACATTTGAGGGTGGTGGAGTGGTGGCAGAGTGGTTGGTCATCTGTTCTATGACACTGGTGACCCAGGTTTAATTCCCAATCATGGTTAACATCAGTAGTGACTGATAATATATCTGAACTGGTCCTGAGTCCTCCACTACACCAACCACACTACACAGCGTGGTGAAGTACAGCCAAACAATCATCCACATCGAACAGTGAACAGAGGCCTTCATAAAACAGTGGATTGACAAAGGGATCTATATTATAGCATGTGAGGAGCACTCACCTCTTCAAATGTTTTCTTTAAAACATGATACAAATATGAAGTACATGTATTAATAGTTTTTCTTTTTAGAGAATATTTTATTTGAACCTATTGCTGGATGTCATCAATATGCCTTTTCTTTGATTGGCTTAAGATCACCTTTGAATAGAGATCACGAAGGTGTATATTCAGAGTCCTTTTGTCAATCCACTGCTGGATGATGGTCTCCCCTCACCGTGCAGGTTATGTGGCCATACTTCGACACCCAGGTTAGTGAATGTTGGTGAAGGCGGGGAGCATAGGTGTGGGAGCAAAGCACAGTACAACGATGGATTTTGCCGTACTATCCTCTGCTGCCCACAACGTAGCCCCCAAGCCTATAATAACATGACCATAACCCCATCTGAACACTATCCAGGCACAACTCATTTAGATTCCAAGATGCGACGAGATCAGGTGCATTCTGGGTGATTGGTCAAGGCAAATAGAATCGGGACATAGAATTATATGAGTCTATGCTACACAATCAAAACACAAAGTACAGCAGTTGACTTCTGGGTCATAGTTATTTTAATGAGTAACAGGGACACACTACTGACTTCATCAGAAAACTCGCTTTTTCTCCATTAAGAGCCTTTCAAGCACCATGTTTATGACAAACCCATGCGCGTAAAGTAGAGTCAATAATGCATGTTAAGAACTTGCATTTAAATCTTATAACTGGATAGGGATTCAGTAATGAAAATGGAGTGTACCACATAGGCATATTACTATCGCGCATGACTGCATGCATTCTTCAAAAAAAAATCCCCCATTAACTTATAATTACAGCAGAAAATTCCCACCGGCTGTATCCTTGCATGCTGTGGCATGCTGTTTCCATCCCCAAGCGAATGATTGCACCCATGCTCTGCCTGGTGGTTAGTGCGACCCCACGACCTGCACTCTAAGTGGTTTTGTTTTTCCGTGTGGTTGTGCTACGATTGCTGTGGGGCGTGAAATGGTGAAATTGTCCAATGTGTGCACCGTGCTGCTTTAATGTAGTAATTTGGCAATTTTTATTCTCACCTTCACGACGCTGACACATAATTCAGCGCTGTCAACTGAGGTGCAGAGGGAAGAGCTAAGAAAAAAGGCCAGCCCAGAGGAGACCCACTGACAACCTCTCCAAGGTTCCCTTTTTCAAGGCATTTGGAAGAGCAGGACAAGGCAAAGTGCTTGAACTTAAATTGGTAAATCCCACAAAAGTATAACGGCGGCTCTATCCATTCCAGGTAAATATGGTACTTTTAAAATGTGCACATCTTTCAATTTGCAAATGCCCAAAGAGCAAGGGTTCCCTCTGCATGAAATTCACACGAAGGCTTACATTTACACACGTGGCTATTACAGCCAAGTTTATACTTGGAATGCATTTCTTTGAAGATTGATTAGTACTGTATAAATTAGTTGTCTAACGCTATACATTCTAAGTCATTGCATTTTCTTTTCATTTCTCTCTACTAAAGTACTGCCCACGGGCATTCCTTTGTATGTTTTACACATTGCTAGTTTTGAACGTTTTTTTATTGTCAGCCTGGTTTCATTACATTATTTTTTATCTGCAGCTTCTTATAGCAGAAGCCTGTGGAGGATAAATAAGACCATTTAATGACTATTCTTTGGAGGAAATGTTATCTTGCGGTAGGAAAAACCAATAGAACCCATTCCTTTGTGCCCAAGCTCAAAATATTGTTGAAATGGCAAGATTAGATGCAGTGATGTCCAATTTTAAAAACTTTGGAATTTGATTTTCAAACTTATACAGAGGTCACTGTAGCGTAATGGGATTTTTTCATAATTAAGTTACTGAGGAAGAAAGCCTGTAATTCTTCCTGGCAATCAAAATTGTCTTGAGGCTTTAATAGGGCGTATTATTTAGTTATTTACATGCCACTATAATTACACAGCTAATAATAGGTAAAAGTTAATTAATGGATTTTTTGTTTTCTACCATAATTAAAATTAATGCTTAATTCATCAAAAGTATGCATACACTAATTATAATATTTATACGTAGAATAAAATGAATTACAGGCAAATTCATATATTCGTGTAAAAATGGGCAAGTAACTTTTTTCTATCTATTTGACCATTTTCCACAAATTATCAGCATTACCGCATGAATTGGCTCTAAATATTTTGTAACATTAATATTTAGATTAACTTTGGTCAATATATCAAGTTAAAAGGCAAAATGTTCATAAAACCAGAACCATGCTGGGCCACTCTGTCATCTGGGCCACTCTTTATCATCTGCAGGGCATCTAAACAGCACCTCATTCAGAGTCCTAGCCACGACCTAATTTTCGCTTTAACTACCACAATTCGAATTGTTTTACATTTCCAAGTGGGAGATTGAAATCAAACTTCGAGCACTCACGTTATTGGCAATAAACTTGCAGCAGTCAAAACATTCAAATCTGCAAATACAAGTCTGCCTGTGCTGCATCTCAGTTTGGAGAGATCCCAGAAGCAAGTAAAATATATTACCATGATTGCAGTTGGACTGCAAACTCTCGGCCCCGAAGAAACGCGAGACGGCCTGGAAGGCACGGCTGTGCTCAAACAAATCAACGTCCACACGTTCAACACGTACCCGATCGTCACCCTGCGAGCTGCAACAACAACAACAACACAAGACTGTTTGCACTTGTAAGGTGGCATCGACAATCACTGCAATGACAACTCAAGCATAAAGATGATAGGTGGATTTTTTTTTTGTTTAGAGACTGCTTTCACTGCTGAGCCTGAAGACACATCAATGTTATGCAGCGTCAAAACGAATCAGAGATCAGTGGAGAGGAGGCACATTCTAGCCCCAGGGATCACTGGTTTTTTGTTGTTTTTCTTTGGGTCTGTTGTGCTTGTCATACTGGGAAACACTGTACTGCTTGCCACTATCCATTTAACAAAAAATACCTCTACACGAATTAAAAAATGTGTGCTAATTGCCCAGTGACGATTTTATACAGCTTCATGCAAGCACCACACATGGGCAGAAGAAATTTAAAGTGGATCCTCTGGGGTACTCTGTTTGGGGCTGTTTGGTATTGTTAAGACTTAGCCGAAAAAAAAACACATGACATTTTACCCCATGACTAATTTGCACAAACATAAACAGGGCTAAAGTTCCATTCAAGCAGATCAACAGTGTAACAATTATAATGTGTTAGTGCGGCCCAATAATATGTAGAGCAGCATCACTTTCAGTTATGCACCAAAAATTTCAATGAAATATACAATTGATACGAACTATTAAGTTAATCCAGGAAAGGAAGAAAAACCCTCCTCTGTTCAATCACCAATTAATGTTATTGTCCTATTTTATGCACTCTGAGAAGCTTCTGTTTTTGATAAAAAAAACAGCACAAGCAAAAAAGATTGAACAGATGCTCAAAAACAAATACAGTGAAACCTCTACATGTCTTTTAAGAGGACCAACCAAATTGAATGTTCGATGTGGGAAAATATTAAATTGCAGAATAACTGTAATCGACAATTTGGGATTTCTTTGAGATGTAAAAATGTAATATTTATTACCAGATAATGCATAAATGGGAAATAATCGTATCAGAAACTCGTAACGTGTGCAACGTCATCTCAATCTGAACCAAAATGTAAAAAAATGCAACAGTGTGCACATTTTAGCACTGTTTGCAATTAACTATTTTACAAATAGCTTATTACAACTTCACCAATTTACTCCCTTGACATTCAGCACTACTGCCAGTGTACATACCCCGTATTAAGCTCCCCTGTACCCCTTTGCATTACTATAGAGTGGGGGTAGCAGTGACACAATGGTTAACACCGATGTATTAATCCAGGCATTTGAGTTGAATTCCCAGCCAAAGCTAACATCCAGTGGTGAGTGAATTCTGAACCGGTTCTGGGCCACCCCTTTACCAACCCACATTAACAAAGGTGATGAAGTATGGTGAAACACCCCTCATGACCGACATAGGATAAGGAAGCTTTCATCCAGCAGTGTATTGATATGGGGGTTGAAAATTATTGCATATATAGTACATTCAACAACCTACCAATAGCATGCGATTCATTCAGTTATTTATGCAAAAGTATCAACTTGGCGAGTCCATTTTACTTTAAGAGTGAGTGAACAAGTGCTTAATAAAATCCCACTAATCCTCTGCACTGGCTGTTGAAGTGCAACAGTGAACAACGGCACGTTGTCCCAAAGCACGCAGCTGATATACAGCTTTAATAAGGGCTGTATTGCTATAAGCTAATCTGCTACAGATGGCTTCCCATATATTCTTAGCCCATTACAATTGAGATCATATTTGTTTCCGCTTATAGTATGTGTGTAAAAATGCCTCTTCCAATTGTATTGGTGTGGCAACACCTGACAGACTCAGCACTATATTTCAATTGAAGTTCTCCATCCAATGTAGACGCAAAGGGATTCATGAACAAAAATAATTAATGTTTAGTTGAATGGATGGATTTTTTTAGGTTAAGCATCGCATTTAGTTGATCATTATATAATTGTAACATATATGTCTAGTTGTACAGTGGATATTACTTTAACACTTAACTAAAAAAGGTAATTGAAACAAAGGTTAAAAAAAGGAAAAAATATGTTTTTCAACAAATACTGATTAATGTCCTGATAAATATAAACCACTGCATATAATGCCATTTTTCAATAACGATATAGCTTTAAACTCTTTGGAATACAGCACATAAAATACCATCAATCTATATAAATTGTAATCCCATCACATGCATAGGCAAATTATGAACAGCATAGCATTTTAAAGCAAATGTCAGAGCGGGCATTCCACAATCATTATAATCCTTGGCTCCCACACACAAGCGCAAATATGCCAAGCCTGCCAGATGAGCACATCGCGTACACACACACACAGACACACAGCACTACTGCTTGTAGCAGGAAGGGATTCCCCACTCAAAATGTGATCACCAGTGGGTGTTTGCAGGACAGGTCCAACCCTGAAGGTGAGACAACCATACTCCTCTCCCCTGGGACAGCTCATAATAACGCCTGCACATCCCTCTAATTACCCTGGCATGAAGAGGCAGTTTCACTGGCAAGCTAATTACTCGAGGTCTATAATGAATTAAAGTGCAAATAAGTCACTTAGCAACAACTCAAATGAACCACCGTTGTATATGTAACTGCTACGACTCATTGTAAATAGAAAACATTACGAGTAAAAGTGCACTGAACATTCACCGATTTTACACATGGCCGAATACAGGTGGGCTTTTTATCTATATTATCACATTCAACAGTATTGAAGGGAAGATGTTGCAACGGTAAGCTCACGCGATGACCATGGGCCGTCGTGGGAATGGGACAGGCAGGCAGGAGGTGAGCACAGGAGATCAGAGCTGTGGCAGCAACAATCTCCACCACGAGCACATGGCAATCGCGAGACAGAGATGAGGCAGAGGGAAACACTCAGCAATGCAGAGAGAGACACGAGGCAGAGCCATAGGGAAAGAGACGGGGATACACAAAATGAGACATAACAGATGTATACATATCAGGAGAAGAGACAAACGAGACATAGAAATACAGAAAGCGGAACAAAGTTTCCAAGTATTTAAAAAAATACAATAAAAATACAAAAAAAAACATATGGCTTCAAATTGGTATTCAGAGAAGACCTATGTTTGGTATATGGATAATTAATGGTATCGTATATCTTTAGTACATGACCATAAAAGCCAGCAAAATATTAGCTACTGTAGTTTATGTTGAACTACCGTTTGCTATCAAGACAAACCTTCTGGTAATTCGCGTATGTTTCTTTTTAAAAACAGAATTGTTGACGTTCACTTAAATTTATTCACAAAAAACAAACTGCCACAATATCGCTATCCTTAGTTTGCTTGGCTGGCACCTAATTATCGAGTCTCAAAGGACACTGCCAGCAGCTGTCACTAAAGGAGCCTTTCACACTCTCCTGACGCTCCTCTGCTGGCTGAAGAGAAAATATCAAACATTCCATTAAGGGCTGGCCAGATACTGGCTGAGGGCAGTCAGTGAATTTACATTTCGTTTCCTGCTAAACTACCAGAACCAATCCAACAGTGTCAACTAATCATAATTAAAAACTAATATCTATTTTGTAAATGAAAACACTAGCATCAAAAAACCCACCAATGTCACAAAAAAACGAATTGTGGAAATAGTGTGAATAATTTCATCATTGAAGCAGTGGCATAGCGATTAAGCTATGCACTATGAATTCTGCAATTGGAGTCCAAATGCCGGCTATGGCTATTGTCAGTGGTGAGTGATATCTCATAACCAATCCCGTGCCCCCCTTTGCCAACGTGCACTATCCATCATGGTGAAGTATGCTCAAATAACCCCCATTACCAACACTGAGTGGGGGAGGAATTCATCCAGCAGTGGACAAAAAAAATCCATGTATTAGCTACAGACCATTTTTGTTTAACAGTAAATGGCAAAACCATTGCTGGATAGAAAGGTGGGTACTCTAAAAAAAACTGCTGGTGCTCAGGTAAAGAGTCTTTTAAAATCTACACCACTTGGGTCTGAATGTGGAATTAAAATCCCTATGCTTCTCGCACAATGATCTTCAAACATGACACTAAGCATGTGGCTGACATTTCTTTACTCAAGTCCAGATTGTCATGCCAGATGTTAGGCTTTTTTTGCAAATGCAGCACTTAACATTTGACAATGAGCTGATAATGAATTTGCGCATTAGTGAAAAACCTATTACAACATGTGTGGTCCCGCTGGATATGCATTATGGACAGCCATGTGTGGTCCTGCTGGATGTGTATTATGTAAGCCAAGTGTTGCTAAATCGAGATTTGAAGTTTTCGTGACTGCAGGGATCCACACTCTTTGGTTCTTATTCAGAATAGGCAGATACCACACTAGCAGGAAGCCCACGCTACTGCAGGCAGCCATCACCCCCACATAGCTCCCCCTGTCGACCCCCTCTTCTCTCACCCACTTTTCTAAAGTCACACTGACAGTCGAATTAAACCTAACTTCAATGACAATTGCTCCTGACCAGACGCAGAATAAGCCAAGTCTGACTTCCTGGATAACAATGGCAACTCAACACAACAAGCCACGCAAGCACAACTTAACACTTAACTTTCTTACCGACACACCACTGGCCAATTTGGTGAAGGCGAGGAAAAACTTTTGCGAGGAAGGTGGGTAGGTGCAGAGCGTGTCGGTGGCCGACTATGAAAACCGGGTTTAACGTAAGTACCGAAACCCTGTTAAGTCATAACACTGACCACCGACACTCTGACTACACCAAATAACCCATGACAGCACTTAGCCAGAATGCCCTGACTGGGTCACCGCCGCACCACTTTCCTGAATCGGCCACCTTGAGCCACGAGCAAACCAAGCCTGTAATGTTTTGTGAATCGGGAAGGGGAGCTTCGACAATGCGGCCTTGCAGATTTCTGTCCAAGGCACGCCAATTACGCTCGCCGAGGACACCACCATGACCCTGATGAAATGCAGATCACACCGTTCAGCTTGGATGCATTCATCAACCTATTCATTACACGGCAACTGAAAAATGTGGAACACTACAAAATATCACGTAATGCGTTTCAAATAGTTGCATGTGAATTTTCCCCAGAATAAGAGAAAACATGTATTAATTACTTCTTCTTAATGCTGACTTAATACACACGCGTAATGAAATAGCCAAACCTTCCACTTTAAATTAACTCTCGTTGAATGTGATAGCCCGTCATTGGAAAAGGGGGATGGGCAATGGATTGACCAGTGCTTATCCGCTTATATTGTCCACAGATCACGTTTACTTTGCCTTGTTTGCTGAATTACTTAATTCATTCTCAAATGAAAAAAAAGGAAATTCGTCAATTAAAGCACACCGATATAAATGTGTATATAAAACTTTAATTCACATGCAAAGTATGTCCTGATTTCACGTACAAACACAGCTTTTTCCTGGACTTCACCCTTAGAACTGGAACTATTGTTCATGCTCCAAATTTGTCAGTTAGGGGCATCGTGCCCATGGTGTTTGTAAGCAGTGGCAGCATCGAGACAGTGACGAGATAATTAAATCAGCCGCTCTTCATTGTTTGGCAACGCCACAGTGAGAGGGATGGGAGAGCACTGACCTAGATCCGCAATACTTTGTAGGGACAGCCGGGCAAACAAGCAAGTGCCAGAATTGGACAGTGCCTTTTGCAAAGCGGCCTTACTATTGTTTGGACGCACAGCTTGGATGTGCACTGTGTTGAGTGACTTAGCCACCAACGTAAGTTATACTTGGTCTAGTTATACTTAATACATGTACATTGGGCATAATACCTAGTATCGCAGAGTTTTGACTTGTTTAAAACATTCTTAAGTTGATGTGAATATGCATGTATGTTGAACTTTTCCCACTGTGCATAGGAGGTGTGGGGGAAGGACCTCAAACTAGACCCAAAAAGCAGTTCTAAATAAATTAGTTTTCAATCTATATTTAAAAGTGCATAACTCCAGTGGCATCCCAATTTGGGGATGAAACGAATGATGCTTTTCCGTAAGTTTCCAGCAAAATAACGTATTGTTGTAAACAGATAACTTGATACATTTGTAGAGCAGTGAACGTGATATTTACTGCGAAATACATCTATTCCACATAGTAACAACAATCCAATACAAATAGATGTTGCTATAATCAGTTTCACGTCATTTTTTCTACTACACGGCAGATAACTTTACCAGTAAAAAAGGAAACCTAAAACCTTTTAAATAAATTATTGCCCAAGTGTACATTAAAACGTGCTTAACAAGAATGCATTGCGCTATTGCACTTCAAATAATCTTACAAAATTAACAAATTAATCATCTAAAAAACGTTCACCTATGTGACTGATATCTTATGGTAAAACATTTCTGGAATTGTCCAATGTACAATGTTTCTAGAACATTTCAGCACATCTTTAAAAGCATAACAGGTTACTGGAGTACACATTTGACACACATATGAACAGGACTTTAAGAAAATGTAAATTTGCAAATTAAACAGAGAGAAGGCAGTAAAGAGATTTGCACCCATCCACTGTTTTAAAATAAATGGATTTTGCTTGTGAAAATATCTGTGCAGAACAGGCTCATTTACTTTTAAATGAGTTCATTCAAGAGCAATGAAGTGCACTGACTGAAGCAATACATGAAGGGGAATATATGTTGATTCAGCACTCATACTTGATTGTGATACAGGGAAAGACACATTTGCATTTGCTGGGTACGTGCACAAGTGTACTGCCAGTTTTTCCCCATGCATTAAACAAATAACAAAATAATTAATGTTTACAATTTATATTTTAATTGATGAAATATGCTTACCAGAATAGGCTCTGAAATATATGTGAATCTTATTTTAGTGTTAAATTTACATATTTTCACAATCCATGTTATTTTTCTTGTTAAGAGATTGTCACAACTGGCATACAAAAGCCTCTTAACTATAAAATAACAGTTTCACTTCTTTAAGGTTGCTCAATTGTGTTTTGATTAATAAGACAAAGATGAATTATATTTAAAATGGCATCTCAAGTCATGGCATGAACGTATAATTCACTGCCCTTTGTCAATCCACTCAGGGCCTCTCCAACCTTGTTGGTTATGAGGATTGTTTGACTATGTCACCATGCTGTTCAATGCACATTTGTGAAGGGTGGGGGGGGTTCCAATACAAATTCAGATATCACTCCCGACTCAATAAAACTCGTGCACCAACATTCCACCAAATTTCAAATGAATTGGAAGAAAAACAACAATAATAAAATAGCTTCATCAGTACCGAGGCTCCCACAAGGCCATTCAGGAGAACGTGTGGCACAGTTTGGTGCCAGCTATCAGAGGGCGGTGGTGTTGCTCAAGTTCTCTGCGGTGAGTATAATGTTGGAATAGATTTTACCCTTTTAACTGGCACAAAAAACTGACACCTTTATTCAAGGCATCATGTTTGCAATAACCACAACACAAGCAGTCAAAATGCAAACAAAAAAGACAACTCTGATAATAATATGCACTGTCCTTGAATTTGATTGGTCCACACCCGAGACGGCTTTTCTTAGAGCCTAGTCTCCACTGGTGTTGGACCAGAAGACGCCAAAAGGCGTACAACTCAAAAACAGCGCACTATCAGAGTATTGAGGGCTCGGGGTGAGCATTTACATTATGAGACCTCCTTTGCCAGTAACAAGATATAGGAATATATATCTTGTTACTGGCAAAGGAGGTCTCATAATGAGTATAATGTCTTTTTTAAAAACAACGGCACTATGCCTCTCTAAATAGAATTAACGCTGAACGGCTTGCGCGTTTCGAGATTCAGCGGTGAACGGGACCCACCCTCCAACTTGTTGTCGTCTCGGAACGGGAAAGGGTTAAAGAGTCTATGGTTCACAGTGACACCTGTGGGACTATAAAGGGCACTCGCTTTCACGCTGAGGCTTTCGCAATCAGACAAATGTATCGTCAGCGACGTGATCCAGTTTTCTGGCCTTACCTATTGGCTGTGAGTGAGCACAGCGACCTCTCAGTCTCGTCGGAAAGAGCGGCTGGGATGAGCAACTCCACGGGCTGCAGTGATAGCACTCTGCTCTCCAGCTCCAGGCGTGCCTTTCCATCTTCGAAGCAATCGAACAGCAGCTCTCCAGTGCTGGGCTGCACTGCCTGAGTGGTGAGAAGCGAAGGCATTTTTAAATGCAGCAGGAAATTTGCATAGTTAGGTAAAGGCCAACCGATAAAACTAACAACCCACAAGTCCTTTTGGACGTGACCATACGTCTGTCCGTTCCTTCCAGCCAGCCTAGCAGGATATTTTCTCCTCTCTCCAATGTATCTCACCCACTTCCCTTTCCCCCATCTCTCTCCCTGTATCTCTCTCACCTCTCACCCTCGCTCTCCTTATTCCCACCTCTCCCTTTCACGTCTCAATCTCTCTTGCCTTTCCATAATCCTCTCTCCCACTGCTTGTCGCTTTCCCTCGCTCTCCTCTGTTTTGCTCTATATCTTTCCTCTCCGATTCATGCCATTTCACTCTCTCTCTTCTATCACTTTTTGTGTGGGATACACGACCGGGGTGGAGGTTGGGTGGTAGGGAGGTGTGACATCAGCTCAATGCACAAACCCAGTTCAACGCGGTGGGATGTGGGTCACATCATCATGCAGATGTGCGTGGTGATATCACCACTGCGCATACGCGCTTGCATGCCAGTCAGGCAGGAATCCAGCCAGCAACATTTTTTTGTAATATAGTGTGGAAAAATCAAATTAGTTTTCCATTTATTTATACATGAGAGCGCTCATGACCTGTTACAGTCAAGGGCCAGTGGTGAAAAGTCCACATTCCTATGACAAGTGTCAGTTAACCCATAGTTAAAGTCAACTTGGTATCCCACAAAGTACTACTCATATGATCAAACTCAAAGGGATAAGTTAAAGGGCTGATTCATCCTCCAGCTGAAAATGGTACATCAAACCCGTTGTAAAGAAGAGATTGTCACAACTGGTGCACAAGAGTCTTGCCAGTCAAGCAGTATAGCCCGGTTTAATAACCACAGCATCACTCAGCAAGATAATTGTATTAACAGGTTATTAACCATGACTTTTATACTAAAATAAACGTCTCAAAACGATAAATTAAAAAAAAATGTGATTCAATGCCCTTTCAAGATGACAGGTGAACATTTTATGAACGAATATATATTTGAATAATGTGGTAGATTTAGTGGCTGCAATGTATTACAAATACCATACAAGAAAAATAATCCGTTCTCACACACACTTCTATGTACGTACTGCAAGTACTAATAATTGCATTGAATAAATGAATAGGGATATCTCTCCATGCTACCACTCTGAAAACTAATGTAAGCTATGTAAAGAGGCATTAAAATATTAAATCTGCTTTACGGTTATTTTTGTGTGCCTTAAACGTCTCCTTTTCAGGTTCAGTATTCTGAATGGCCTCATACTGTGAATCAATTATTTCTGTGATTTTGATGACTGCTAACAATATTAAAAACAATATATTCTACCAATCAATATTCATCATCAGGCTGTGAGCTCCAAAGATGTACTGTTGTTATGCCACCAGAGGAGAGATTATAAGCATGCACTACCTTAATTAACAGCCCTTTTGTGTTCAGTAGACTTATCCGACTGTTCAAAAATGAGATGGTGGTGCATTGTAATGAGGGTGACCATGGCGTCTCGTGATTAACCCAAGCTGTATTTGGAACGAATTACTTATGAAACATAATTTACATAGCACTGCTTATATGCTGCACCTATACATGATAAAACAAAAATGTAAGGAAGACATTCAAGTCTATGGTTTAAAAATGCACTCACCACAACAAATAAAGCAGCAACATGTCAGAAGAAATGGTGCTTCTTGTGAAATGCATGCATGCATAGTTAGTGGGAATTAATTTAGCAATCTAGATGTTATCATCACAATTACGTCAATGCCAAAATCCGTGTTTTAAACCTGCAAGTAAAATGCAAAGCTTTAACAGTGCACCTCCGATTAGCACTGTTGGCTACGTACAGTGCGAACAAAGTTGAACATATATACACAATTATGTGTTTCCCTCGCATTCTCCCCATGTTTGATCTGCATAAGGTTAAGCTAATTAGCCACTGTTCTTTCCAACCTATCTGGTTCTTGCGATGGTAACCTTTAATGTTTTTTGGGACACTAAATGTTACTGATGTCACTTCAATGCGAAAGGCTTTTATATAAAATGTTAAACTATTTTGTCTCGTCAATGTATGTGTTAACAAGACTACAACATATGAAATAATGCACCTCAGAGGAATAATTAAATTAAGTAATAGCTGTGAGGTATTTTGGGATATAGGCAGCATTGTGTGAATGAGGCATGCTTAAGTTTGGCGCAGTATAGAATAAAAACCTCACTTCTTACATGATAGTAATTGAGCAGGTGTAGTAAATAAATTGTGATATTTGTACACGATAATAAATTAAGCTCATAATCCGAAACTCATTAGCGGCACCCATCCATCGTCCTGTTCTAGCAAATATAAAGCCACAGCAACTCCTTCCCCTAGGGACTCACCTCATAATAGAATGATCAGCAATGGCAGTTCGGCCAGCCGCCTACACACACTATACCCATATTTGACAATCACTGAAGCATGCTGGCCTCGTGTGCGACAATTTGAAACTGGAACAATGCGAGCTGTTAAGTCTCAATCCTGTTTCCTGCTATTTCCCCGAGTAGAGACAAATGGAATGTCGTAATGGCACATGCTAAAAAAAAAAGGCTGTCCTATTTTGCCAATCTCTAGGTTGCCCAAGCGCCAAGCATTCACGCTCTAATTCAAGCATTCTAGATTGGAAGGCGGGGGGGTTGTGGGCAAGTTTGTTTTACTGCGGAATTGATGAAACCTGCAGGTTAAATAAGGTGGAGGGTATACCATGGGACCCCCGAAGAAAATAACGCAGCACTGACCAGGCTCCAAACGAGAAAAGCAACCGGCTGTGTGCGCATGAAACCTTCAGTTTAATTCATCTGCGGATGTAATTGAACACTGTGACTGGGCTTATACAGGAGGCAATGATCATGCGGTGGTTGCAACTTAATAATTTTATTGACAATGGATATTTCGGAGTAAACGTTCTTTTGATAAAGGTATTCTTGATTGTCTTCATAAATCGGTGGCTGTGCCCCTGCATCTTAAACAATTGTATTAATTGTTCTAGGATTTATTTATAAAGGGTATAAGGGATAGTGTTGTACGATGGCAACCAACTTTACAGTACAGTACATTTGTATGGTACATGATCTGGAAAGTGTTAGGTAACAACTGAATGCCCCCCCCACCCATCCTCAATGAATTGTCACGATTCTCGGTCACAATTGTATTCAGGGACTACTTTTATTTAGTTTCATTCGTACTCAGGTTTACAATGCGTCTTGTTTATTCTGTTTGTTGAGAATAAATGTTTCATATATTCTTGTTTTTTCGGTCTTGTTAAATGTAACATTACCATATAATTTGGATACATCATACATTAATTTTAACAGGTGATTCGATGCACATATTGAGCTAATACAGACGCTGTAGATTATTAATCCATATATAAACCGCAATGTCAATCCTGTCTCCCAAAGGGCGGTAATCTCCCAGACATCTTGAAGAAAACCCTTTCATATTTAAGTAAAATTATTTTCACCTTTAATGATAGGGAACATAAATTGGATTCCTCCGTACATCACTGCACAACCGAACATCCAGGGATGTTTACAGGTTCTATACTTCTGGCCCCTGGTTTATACAGACGGTACCGATTAATTTCTGCACTAATGCAATCCCAACCTAAAAAAATGAGTCAATTTATGCCCATTCTCTTTTCAAGAGGTTTTGCTGCCACCACCTGGTAGTGAAATAGAAGTGTCTTACAATCAACTGCCAATGTATGACCCACTTTGTACCTACAAATCAATAGCCAGTTCATACTCAACTAACATTAACCATCGAAGCATCACAATGTGCTTCGCCGACGAGTATGCATTTCTGGCGAAAATATCCATAACTGGCAAAAACATTAATTATTGGATAAGTTTGTACATTAACGGCAATATTGAAGGGAAGAGACTGAAAGGGAGATAAAGTGTAGCTCAACAACATATTGAAGTCGTTTTTGTTCACAAGGCTGAGACGAAGTGTAGCATGTAACACGAGATAAGGGGCAGCAAACAGATTGGGGAGTTCTAAAAATGTCAATCCCAGGTCTGGGGGTAACACCCATTGACATGATTATGAGAGTGCTTATAAGAGTGCATGCAACAAAAGCAATTGCGCCTGGCATGCCAATGCCATTGCCTTCGCTGCAAAACTCACCACCAGGCCGAAGGTGACATTCTGACCACCCTGTCGGGTACTGGAGCCGCTTGGCACTTCGCTCAGGCACAGCAGGTAGCTGCTGGGCGAGGAAGTTTGATCCACATCTTCTTCCGGCTCCTCTCCAAGCCGATCCAATGGGTCAACATGTGCACAGCCGTTAAGTGTCCCGTCGACAGGTCATTTGGATTCACGGTAGGCGGAGAAGGTTTATAGAACTGTAGAGTATGTTTATCTGCCACACACATACGCTTGTTGTATAAATCAGCAACCTACATGCAGATTCAATTAATATATCATAGTTGTACTGATATGGAGCTGCAGTATAATATTATAGCGTCAAAGTTAAATATATTTTTCCCCATGTTTTCCAATCTTCTACAATCAAATGAATAGATGTGCAGGAATCATGCGAGGGATGTCTTGGAATAACTTGTTTACCTATGAAAACTCACTGTCCAGAAAGTATGGTTTTGTTGAGTGCCGGTGAATTACATTATTCAGTTAAATTACATGGCCAATTGAGAGGAGATGATACAAAAATCAAACAGTTTCTAGATTTGAAGCTTTCGTGACTGCAAGGATTCATAACTCTTTGTTTTTTTCGGTAAAGTCACGTGATTTAATTGTTTTCTTTTATTTTACCTACGTGACTTTACCGAAAAAAACAAAGAGTACAAACACAGATTGTCAGGTTTTCCATGAAACCAGTGTTTTCTAAAAAAAAAAGTAGGTAATCAAGTATTTTCCAGGACACCCCTCATTTATACACACTGCACACACTTGATTATTCTTAAACAATCCCCATATGACATACAGCGCCAACTTAAATTAGCCTAGAGATCGTGTGTCCACATAACGGCTTCATTTGTATGTGAACAAAGACGTAAATAGGAATGGATGCACTGTGGCAGGGCATGAAGACTGTACTTGGGGAAATCCTGCTCCAATGTAAAATGTGTATAATTGTGAGATCTCTAGCTACAGTTAGCCCATGTTATAGAGCTTCAACCATTTTCAGCAGTTGGTTATTGATGGTAAATTTGTGCTGCGTCTCAAGGGATCTTGTTAACATCTGAGCTAGTGGGACATCTAGTGGAACATCTGCTTCTCTGCGACATAATTAATTTGTGTTAGACACCATGTGCAAAATATATTTTTCCTAATTGTACAGCAATTAAAAAAAAGTATTCTACAGAAGTACTATCCGTCTGAAGGATATATAAAGTAACATTTCAGCTTTAAAATATATACAATATATTTTGTAAATGACTGACATTCAATGTAAGGCTAGGACAGTGGCCTATAACAAGATAATTTTTTGGTGTGTTTAATGCTTAATGTTACATAAAATTGCATAATAAATATACCGTTATCTGGCCACATAATAAATAATACGCAAATTTATAACCAAGGTGCTCGACCCGCACATTCACAAGGATATCCTCTCCGATAAGTGTGGACTTGGTATAGAGGGCCGTAAGCTTGCGGCTGAAGAGGGCACTTTTATTCTCACCAGCAGCTTTGAGGGCAGTCGTTTCTGTCTGCTTCACCACACCGACCTGAACCACAATAACGTACAAGTATAACTTACATTCAACAGTAGAATTATCATTAAATTGTAGAATTATGCAGAAAAAAATACACGTGTCTCTTCATATGAAACAATCCTCACCACTTAAATCAAACTCAAGCCAAATTGCCCCCAAGCTTTAATGGGCACTTAATCATACACTAGATAATTGCACACTTAAGGAAATGAGCATATCAGAATAAACCCTATTTGCCAAAGTTTCGTACCTTGGATAACCATGGTGATGCAGTTTAAAGTAGATATTTGCGTAATAATCATTAATTGTAATGCCTTGAGCATCACTCTTAAAATGTGCGAACAAATTATTGATAAAACTGTGCAGCACGTAATGAGAAAAAGGCAGCAGTAGCCTAGGAAAGATCATGGTGCAATGGGAATGAGCAGAGTAAAACCATCAACAAGATGTGAAGATAGCCTCAAATAAAATATGGAAAGGAATGTAGGAGGAGTGGCACAAAACCAGAGAAAATGGAAGCTCATCGTTGGTGTTGCAAGGTCTGAAAGGAGACGTGCTTGGAACGAAGATGCTATAGTTACGCGACCTTGTAGCCTTTGGCCACAAGCCGTCGGACGTGGATGAAGAGACGATGCGTCGGGATGCTGGCCGTCATGAAGTTGTGGTCTTGGTGGCAGGTGATGTTCAGTTCTTTTGCTGCAATCTGAAATTAATTGATTAAACCAACCAATAATTTCTTCATCAATAATACAACAAAAAAATGCCCCGTTTCCAGGGCGGTAACAGTTGCACATTAAGCATTACCGTTTCTCAATTTAACTAGACTATCACAAATATAGACGTAATCATATACTTACAGAGATATGAAAGAGTAAACCGATTTATAGCGCTCTCTGTGTAAACAGCGCTATATCAAACACAGATAATAATTGTTGTTTAAAGTAGCTAATAATAGTCGCATGTCAAAATAATGTTAAACCACAATCGATATTAAACGAACTCATAATCAGCAGCCACTATTTCTACACTGCTGGATAAAAGACTCTCTCTCCCTCCCCATTGTGCAGTGATCCACATGGTCCTGTGATGCCACAATCTTTCTCAGTACTGGACATTTACTGATCTTCTTATCACCCTATTGGGTATTTCTCTTTGGATAACCTTCTGTCACCAATCCAGTCGAATGGCTAACATCTCATCTTAGCACTGTGTCCTGCCCAAGTCTACTTTTCTGAACAGTAAATATGTATCCGATTTGCATTTATTTGAAACATATTACCCTCTGACAAGCAAACATATCTCTAAACTTTCGTGCACTTTTTTCAGCTTTTGTTCCATTTTATTTGCTAGTGCCCATATGTCACGAAGGATAATATACAATTAATATTTTCCTCTTCAGGCACTTTGGTACGTAGCTTTCCATGATCAGATTTAAGAAAGCACTTAATTCTGCTCTAGGTTCACCATTTCATATAATCATATTCATCAGCCGTCAATCATTGAGCTCAGTATACATATTCTGCTGGATATTACAGTTCTATCTCTGTATGAATTATTTTATTTAGTACAATCAATTGCTTTTCTCAAACTTACATTGACCCACGATAACTGCATGCCATAAATAAAAGTTAAATATCACTATCAGAATTTTTACAATTAACAGTTAAAATATTAAAGCATTATTTTTTGAAAGGTCAAAGGTGCTGCCCTGCAATTACCCTCTCATGCCACTGCTGGGAGAAGGGGTTTCACGAGAGAAGGTTCTCGAGAACATCTTTTAAAGGGAATTTTGGCCTGCTCTTTCATGCCAGCAACCTCTGTATTGCAAGTCCAGTAATGAATTGCATGTGACATGACCTTTCTAATTATACAAATAAGTCACCCTTAAAATATTTAATATCAACCTGACCTCTGCATCTTCCCCGAAGAAACGGTGCTTGTAGCCACACTCCACCAACAGCAAAGTACCACCGTGTTGCTCCTTAATATCCAGGTACTGTTGCTCCAAGGGCGTGTATATGGTTTTTGTCCGCTTATTTAGTGTGGAGTCGACCGCCTTCGGTCTCTCCGAGTGTCCACTGTTCGACAAAAACCTTCTCAGGAATGCCGATGTGCTACGTGACTTCTCATCCGCAGTTGCATTGTGGTTAATGTCAGACGTGGTGCAGGTACTTCTTGTATCCAAGGCTTCCCGACTCTTGTGTGAGCCAGCTTTTCTGCTTGATGCTCGTGTCGTAACCTCTTCCAAAGCCTCTGACGAGAAGCCCCGAAGCCTCTCTGCTGTGGAGGGGGCCAAGTTTTTCTCCGCTGGAGTATCACGCGTCTCCTCTGTAAATGCCAAAAGCTTTAATGAAAACACATCAGTTTCATTTGGTTGCTTTATACTTAATAGGAGTATTACTTTAGCAACCAATAACGCTTAATGTTTAATTTTCCAACAAATTTAAAGCATAGCCTCATGAATTGCTTGGCTTATTGATATTCAAAACTCTAATGTATTTAGTCCAGAGACATGTATTAAATTTAGTCATTGAGGACCATTCATAATATTTCCCCACAGCAAAGGCACATTATTATGGGATATTTTGAAACCTCACATTTATAAATGGCTGCGCTTAGTTCAGAATATCATGGAATTAACTTGAAATTCTGACACTTGTAGGGAATGCCCCTGCCCTCCACAGTTCCATATCCATCCTTGGGTCTGAACCCTTTTTCGTAGCAATACATCTCCAATTATATAACGAAAGTCAATGGGAAAACATTTCGAAATACAGAATTTTGCTTTCAGGATAGCTTGTCAGGCACATATCTGTTCAATATATCGAGGGATTGCTGTACTCTACGGTTGAGTGCTGCTCCCCAGTTTGGTTCTTCAGCTCATCAGACACAAGGAACGTCGCTGTCCAGCTGAATTCGGCGATGACAATCGTAGCTGGCAATCGTGACTAAAATAAAGTCCACAGCCTTGGTTACCCGTATTCTGCCATATCGAACCAGCACACCCCCACCATTTATTAGAAACTCTTCATCAATACGTCGACTACCAAGATAAATCTTCTTTGGTTCTTTCGGTAAAGTCACGTAGAATGAGAATAAAATAATAAATTGATCAAATAAAATAACACAATTTTATCAATTTATTATTTTATTCTCACTCTACGTGACTTTACCGAAAGAACCAAAGAAGATGAATCCTTGCAGTCACGAAAGCTTTAAATCGATACCAAGATAAAGACCTGCCCATTCAAACAGGCCTCAACCGTTTCCCGATAATGCACCCCGAAATCGCAAAAGCCATTCTTGAAACACTGTAGAAGACTATGCCGGACACTGGGCAGCATCGCAGACTGATGGGCCAAACACTTGGGGAAACATAAACGTCACCTACAATTATAGAGGGTCCCACCATCCAACCATAAGGAAGCATACTTCCCTGCAAGCAGTGGGCTACTTAAATCATATCTGAACTTGCTACGGCGGGTGTCAGCAGCTTTATCCACAAATGGAAAGAATCAACAAAATGTGACTGCCCACAACCGTGGAAGACATCAGGAACTCATGTCCACTGTGAGCGTTTCCGCATTCTATGACAGGATGGTTTAACTAAGGCTAGTGTAGAAGAACAAAAAACATGAGTATAGGAAGGCCAAGGATTTGGATGTTTAAGGAGCTGAAAGTGTAATTTGTGGAAAACAAGAGACGGATGGAAAAAGATGGTAGACAAGGTCCTACCATAACGTCGGCGCACCACAGAGTTAACTGTTGTTATAGCCAAAACAGTGAACTTACCGTGATCATCACTGGAAGATGCAAACGCATCAGCGTCCTCCAATGCTTCACAGGTTCGTTTTGGTTTTTTGGCCGGTGGCACAATCTCTTTTACACCATTTTTCTCCGTTTTCGTTTTTCTCTTTGCTGTAAGCTGCACATTATACAACCATTCGTTACACATATATAAATTATACTTTCTCCAAGGCTATTTGTGATTTGTTTTATGCTTGTCATACACTAAAAAAATAACTTAATGTTAAAATTATAAAATTGAGCCAGGTGTTAAATACTAGTCTCAGTCAGAAAAAAAAACATTTATGCAACAAAGCAACGTTATTATAATCCATAGTAGGTAAAATCGTAATAATAACACCTGATAGCAATAGACCAAAGTTTTTGAACTGCATTCAAAAAGCAACTACAGGATTCAAATGGTTAAATGAAACCTGCAATTAACTGACAAAGAATGTGTGCAACAATACATTTGATTTGACAACTCAATTAAAATGTATAGGATTTAAATAGCTAGTGGAAAGGTAGACAAAGCTCAGCAGACCCCTGACAGACACGGTATTTTCTGTAAACAATCAAGCGTGCAATGTTGACAATTCCCCTTACTCAAAAATTAAGAATTGTAGAAAAACTATCATTAAGTAAATTAGTGTGAAGGTACATCCACAAATAAGCACTGTTCAACCCCAGAGGTTTAACTTCTGGGACATGACTACATTGAATACAGATGGCATAGCCGGTATTATTTCTTTAAAAGGTGATACTTGTGGGGATATAGGTGGCTCAATGTGTAATTATCACGTCAATTGAGGTTTCTGTCACACGTGATTAACCCGGTTCTCAAGTGTGGCAAGTTGATGACACAGCCTGGTTACGATAACTGCACACACAAAGCCACCATATCAATGCAACTTGCTTGCTCACTAAAATTTGCTCATTCCAATTCTGAAGATTAAAACATAGCCGGTTACACCGATATCCTGGTAAACTTGGAACGTCAATTCAAATTTTCTTCCAAAAGGTTACACGGGCAACAACGTGTGAAAGTTGCACATTTAATGGGACACGCCGTCCAAAGGACTTGGAAGGTAGCGATATTATTAGTAAGCCACTGGCGCTATACACTTAAAAAAATCGAGATTGGAAACTAATTTTAGAACTGCTTTTTGTGTATAGTTTGTCGTCGTTCCCCGCACCTCCCATCAGCACGGTTGGCCTCTACCGTGCGAAAACACATTCCTGCGGAGGGGGCTGGTAGGAAATTTTGAAGTAATTATGAAGTAATTATGTACGGATATTTAAGCCAAACTTGTTAGGGTCGTGCGCAGAAAAAAGCTAAATGAAAAGTGAGCAGAATTATAAAACGACGCCAGAAAGTTGCAGTGTAAAAGAGGTCGCACCAGAAAGTGCAGTGTATCATCCCCTGCCTCCTGTGAGAATTAATCCTGGTTGGGCTTCCAGTCAATATAAGGGCACCACGGGGTGACCAGCCCCACCCCACCCAGCGCCACCCCACCCAGCCCCTCCCCACCCAGCCCCACCCCACCCCTCCCACCCCCCCACCCAGCCCCACCCCTCCCACCCCCCCACCCAGCCCCACCCCTCCCACCCCCCCACCCCCCACCCCTCCCACCCCCCACCCCCCCCACCCCCCACCCCCCCACCCAGCCTCTTCCCTCCCCACCCAGCCCCACCCCTCCGACGTGGACAGACATCCACAGACATACACAACAATTAATCCCCTGCCTCCTGCGAATTAATCCCGGTTGGGCTTCCAGTCCACTACGTTCCCTACCAGTAAAAGTTCAACAGACATGTTAAAAGTTCAACATACATGTTAAAAGTTCAACAGACATGTTAGGAACTCGTGTAAAGGTTCCCCGTCCGCCCGCCCGCTGTGATGAGTGCGGCGTGCCCGATACCATCGACGATGCCGCCCTCCCCCCCGCTGCTGCTACCGCCAGTAACGTCAACGTGTTTGCAATGTTATGATGCAAGGGAGGATGTGCAATTAAAACATAATTATATATATATTTTTAAATAACCAGTCCGAACTTTTGTATCATTAAAGATTTGCATTTCATGTCGCACAGTCCGAGACACGCAATTTGAGTCTGCATCCGTATATATATATTTTATAAAGCTTTTTGGGTCACGTCTTCATTTAAAACATCACTCCTAAAAGATAAACGTTGCCACGAGTCGAAATCCACAGACCGGATAAAGCGCAAACCGACCAAGCTCGGCTACCGATTGGTCAATGGCAGCGCGCCGTTGGGAGCGTGCATTCCCATTGGCTCAAACAAACCCAGCAGCGACCAACCGCGCAACGCTGGCGCGGAGGCTCAGGCCAATGCGTGGTGGGAAATGTGAACGCTTAAAAAAAAAAGCGTCGTGCGCAACCACCTCCACCGCTGCTACCTCCGCATGGCGCTCCGCCCGCGCGTGCTGCGAAGCGCTCGCTCCGCTGGCGGCCCTCGTGAAGTAGTGGCTGATCCCCTGCTGCTGCTGCTGCTGCTTGGCCCGCGGCGTGGCAGACGCCTTGGCTCTTTTGCTTCTGTTGCGCGGCATTTGCGTTTGGTAATTACGCCTCTCCGTGGCAGGGAAGAAGTCCAAAGCCGAGAGGCGCGAGGCCTAATCTTCGATGTTCCGCCCACTCGTCGCGCTGCTCCGCCCATTTATACCTATGCTCCGCCCATTTATACTTATGCCCCCGCTCACTCATGATGCTCCGCCTACTTGTCACGCCGCTCCGCCCATTCATCGTGATGCCCCGCCCACATGCCGTTCTACTCCGCCCACTCCGCGATGCTCCGCCCCACACTTAAGCTGATCCATCGCCACGTGCTTTTCAGCTGGCGTTTTCTTCCCTTGTCAGTCGAGGCCACCACTGCCCCCCCCTCCCCCGGGTGCTCCGTCATCCCTTCTCGCTATGCGCCCTATCCTAGCCGCCTGCAATTAACCGTTAATTCGATGTCCCTAATCTGCGTATTTTCTCCAATCCTTGTGTGCCTCTTCATGTCTCTTATCAAAGCGTGCACCTATTCTCGATTATTTGGATCCCAAACAAATGTGTGGTAATGTTCATATCATGGCTTACAATGGAATGTTTCTATTGCAAATACTTTTGGAATACTGCATTGTTTTCCCACTAAAATATACATTCTTAGGAATCAAAGCCCATATTAAATGGTAGAATAAATTAGTTTAATCCATGTACCATGTGTATAAATCCCCATTTTGTTACATACGAAGTCTCTTCCATCGAACGTTATACACCAGTCATACCACAATGTGGCGTTGCAGAGCTCTTGTCGGCAAAAGGTTTTGCCCGATGTCGCTTTAACTTGCACCAGCAGGCGAATTGCTATCATTCACGTAGTCCCGTATATGTTCGAGATGGCAAGAGTAAGGGATGGGCTTCCGTAGCATTTCAAGATAACAACATCCAGTATTTTGCAACCAGTCATAACACATAACCTTCAACGTCCGTGTCACTTAGTTTTTTTTTACTATAAACAATACGGTACCAAAAAGTTTCCTTTACAAAAATCCAATTTCCTGACAAGAAGTTTTGGAATGAAATTGAGAATGACTAAGCATCTTTACCTTTAATCTCACCAGGGCCAGGTGGCACGGATGACAACCTGATCCGATTTGCCAGACCATCAAACACAAGGGTGGTCTGAAAATTGGACATCGTACAATTTTCCTAAAATTGAAGGAGCCGATTATAATAAAGTTGTAGCTGCAATGCGAAGGGATATGGAAAGCATCACATAAAAGACTTCGTATGTTTCATTTAATTTGCTCTGTAGAATAACGGCACATGTTTTAGAGGTTGGAAGCTATTTTATTTAGCAGCATGCAATTTCCACTCCTGAATAGCTTACATGCAAATTTGGGGGAAATAATTGCCACAATGGAGAGTAAACATGACTGTCTAATGCCTTCAGAAGATGTTGTGTAATGAGGCACAAAATTGAATTGTCCTAAATTTTTGTCTTCAGCAAATTGCATCCCTAGCCTAAAGGATTTTGCAACTTGACAATTATGGTTTACTGTGGTTTGAAATAATGCATTGAGCAGCCTTACAATGTTACCATTACAAATGTTATCTTTTAAAAAGTAAATTACTTATTGAAATGTATCATATATAATGCATATAAATACATAGCTTCATTGCGTGTATATATGTTAACACTGCAGTACTAATATCAGTATTCACATTTTTGGCCTCTTTGTGTGTTCATGCCACAGTCGCCCGAGATATAGTTTTCAGGGTTTTTTTTTTTCAATTTTACCCACTTTAATAAAAAAACACAAATTTAGTTTACGAGCACGCTGCACATGTCTGTGTACAAATATGAAGTTTAATTGGCATACACATTTCATAATTTCATGTTGCAGTGAAATATTCATAGACTTTACAAAAAAATGTTTTGCACATAGGCCTTCTCTCCATCGTACATTCTGCATGAAGTTATTATGACCGCGAGTACTACGCTTTGCATTGTGTACACCACAGTGTACGGGGCCTGCTAATGCTGCTTGGTATTTCACGCAGTGTCCTAACCTTCTGTGACGCCCACCTTTCTCTGCGTGTTTCTCCGCAAAAGGGCAACGATGGTGACATTTTCCCCAGAGGTAGAATCGATCAAAGTCACACAACGGCCTAATTGTTCCTAAACCTCTGGTCCTTGACACGCTTTTGATTAAATATGTGATAGTATATTCTTGGTTCTTCCGGTAAAGTCACGTTGAAGGGAAACAATAAAATAATACATTTTATTGTTATATATATTTTATGATTTTATTGTTTCCCTTCAACGTGACTTTACCGAAAGAACCAAGAATATGAATCATTGCAGTCACGAAAAGCTTTAAATCAAAATTTATGTGAAAGTAATGAGTATTATGGTTACTTTGTGGTCCCAAAATTGTTCTGGATGGAAAGATAGAAGTGTAGAAATGTTGCAATAAATTCACCAGATTGTAGAAGTTAAAAGTGTTTAGGATAACAGCGTAATAGCATTAAGATATTATTTTAGAAAATGTATCTCAATCCTCAGGCAATATGCATGACTAAATGTAAGTGCAGTCCCGTATTATTGTATATATAAATAATTTACATACGGTAATGCACTTCTCTAAGCTGAAGCTTATGTGCACTGATGGCTGCATAAACTGCCGTGCTCAATCATCCAATTAAAACGTATATCGTTCTGAATTAATGTCTTTGAATACAAATCATGTACGAGTTATCAATGTACTCATTATTCTCAACTTTCTTTGTTTAATTCCCACATTCACGATTTGTAAATGTCAATTGGGTGCTCTGCGCCAATGGCAGGCATATGCACCGGGTCCACTGTGAGAAATGGTGGCCTAACCACTGGGACGGATTTAAATTTGGAGAGGATGATTATCGTGATTATGCCTATCAGTCTCTCTCCAGCCCCCCCTCCCACACACAGGTTGCCCTCTACAGTAGAACCCCTCTGAACGACCACCTCTGTTAACGACTAATCGCTTAACGACGGGCCTCCATAGATGTGTTCGCTTACCGACCATTCTCCTGTTTAACGGGCTGTTGTAGGTGCAGTGAATATTAATTCATGCATCGAGTAACCATGTTTCCTTTTACATGTGTTTATAATGTTGTTAGTATCTTTATGTATTAATATCAATTGTTTAAATATGTTAAAGTCGTTTTTTTGGGTGAAAAAGGGTAACTCTCAGAACGAATTAAGCCTTTAAAATGTATTTCCTATACTCGCTTAACGACTAAATCACTTACCAACCGGTTTCGTGGAACCAATTACCGTCGTTTTCGAGGGGTTCTCCTTGTACTTGTGCCCAGAATTGCCGAGTGGAAATCTGGTAACAATGTGGTGGTGGTGGCGACAAGAATGCCTCTTTAAAATCCACAATGAAGGGAAGCAAGGCAGGCAGTCAGTGACGGGAGAAGGGGGGTGTAACTTTGTGAAAATGGCAGCGGACTGCACCATCTACCCCAGGCTATATTGGCCTCATAGAGCGAACCCTATTTATGTCATCCTTCAGAGCACACTAGAGAGCTGATTTACGTAGACACTGTATTTGCAGTTCGGCTGGTGAGATCGCCTCCGACGCATGGCGAGTGTGCACGTGCAATGCGAATCCCACTGCACGTTTTAGGTCTGGTACAATAAAGAGCACGGCATAGTCCGATATGATTTCACTGTGGTTAAATCATGTATTTGCACGTTGAACTTCTGTCGAACCGTACTTAGCCAATCGTGCTAATCGGAGGTGCGAGGGAAGGAACGAATCAGAGGTGCAGGAAAAAGGACACTAATTTCGATTTAAAGCTTTCGTGACTGCAAGGATTCATCTTCTTTGGTTATTTCGGTAAAGTCACGTAGAATGAGAATAAAATAATAAATTGATAAAATAACACAATAAAATTCTCACGACGTTTCGGCCACAACACAAGCGGCCTTCATCAGGGACGTCATCAGGTGAAGGGACGTCCCTTCACCTGATGAAGGCCGCTTGTGTTGTGGCCGAAACGTCGTGAGAATTTTATTGTGTTATTTTATCAATTTATTATTTTATTCTCATTCTACGTGACTTTACCGAAAGAACCAAAGAAGAGGACACTAAATGTATATGTGTACACAAATAATTGTGTATGTCCTTTTAAAAGTTTCATGAAAATATAAACACATTCTAAATATAATGGGAACATTTTTTTTCGCAGTGTGGACAAAGTGTTCTCATAAAAGTAGCATTAACAAATAACAATATCGTGCCTTTGAAATGTTAATACGATTAAATACACACTGCATCCTTTGATCTTGAATGCAATATACAACGTTAAGTGTAAAAAAAAAACGTTAAATATGTTCCATTTTTAAAGTCATCAAAGGTGCTCTTAATATTCTCTCTTTTTTGTTATTTTAATGTGGCACAGGCATGGCTGGCATAGTCAAGGCATCTGCCAATCTCATTTTCTCTCGCCAAGTGTTCGCAGCAGATGGTATTCAAGGCCCTCGCCACACAGAGAGGATAGTCCAATTCGGGGTGCCTGTGAGAGTGGAAACTGTCGTGGACCTCCTCTGGTTATTTCGCAGGGATGAGCCACCACCACCATCCTCCTGACCCTACGCAAGAGCACACATCATACAGCCACCTCCTGCCGCAGCCACATTTTTCCAATTAAAATATAAAAATAGCAGCACCTTAGATATACAGTATAGACACTTTAGGTCACATAGGAGTTAACCTGTTGTGACAGATGTAAAGGGTTCATTCTTGGTTGGCTCCTTTTAGAATTGCACTGCTCTGTTAAATAACTGTGCTGAAATAATCATCAAAGCTCACATATCAATGATTTTGAACACAACACAGTAAAGTCTTTATTCTTTCGGTCTGGAACATACTCTTACCGAATGCAGTGACACAGCCCTCAGAGCCCAGCCTGGCTGCCATCAGTATGATCAAGGGCTCCTCTCACATTCGATCACCTTTTCCACAACCACTCTCCCCAACTTTGCATCCTCACCTCCCCCTTACAGAATGAGGTCCATACTGTTCCCTCAACTCGCCCCTTCATCATATGTCCATTGTTTGATATACATTAATTTCGACCAGACAGTATTTCCATTCCCCTCTATCAACACAGTGTGGAACGATCCCTGCCCAGCAACGTGTAATCTTCCTTCTTTGATTAAAT